TTAATTTTCAGTAATACACGTTGCACTACCCAAAATTTCAACCCTAGTAATTATATAAATACAAAAATGTATAACTTAAAAAAATATTATTGTTACAGATACTACAGGTGTGCTAGAAGAGGAGAATATTTTTGCAAAGGGTCGAGAAAAAAATTGGCTAATGGAACATTTGTAATAACGAAATCACACAACGGCCACCCATGTCAGAACGCCAATGAGTCCCTAGTAAAAACTTTCAGGGATGTTTTGAAAAGAAGAGCTACGGCCGAAAATAGTTAATTTAAGTTTATTTATGACTATGAAGCTAGGAGGTAAATTTATATTTTAAAGATCTAAAATAATTATTAATTTTCATATATGTATTAAATAAATTAGTAATATACTCATATTATGTCTTGTCTCATAAAATATAAAAATGTGTGCAAGCAGGTATCGCTCTGTCGTGTGGGTCACTGAAATAGTGAAAAAATGTATAGAATTGAAAATAATGTCTCATGGCTATAAATATTTTAAAAAGTTAAAAATAAAAATATTTTAATAAATTGTATCAGGTATGTAAAATGTTGAAATAAACAGTTGGTGAAAATGTCATTATTTTACTGGTTATTGTTTAAATTCAAACGTTTCTAAAATATTGATGTTACTTTACGATAAACGTTTTTTTTTTTTTTTTTTTTTTTTTAATAAATGTATAGTAATAAATCTTCTATTAAATTTACAAAAGGAGGAAGCTGAGGAGATTTAGGGCACGGCACGAGGATTGCGCTACAAGTGTCGAAGAGTACAGGCTTCTGAAGAGGAACCTCAAGACGGAAATCAAGAAGAGCAAAGACAACAGCTGGCGCGAACTATGCAATCAGGTAGAGACCGACCCTTGGGGTACTCCTTACAAGCTGGTCACAAAGAAGCTTGTAGGACGGAGACCCATTACAGGGATAACAATACCCGGACGACTAGAAAGCATAGTTGATACTCTTTCCCGATGCATCAGGCCCCCATCTGGCCAGTCGCGCGACCGACAGGGGAAGTCCCTCTGATAACTGTCGCGGAACTAGCGTCGATTGGTGCAAGACTTCCTACGAATAAAAGGCCCCGGGGCCGGACGGAGTCCGTGATATCATCTTAAAGAGGATAATCGCGAAAAAACCGGAGCTAATATTGGACACGCTCAACAGGTGTCTGTTACAGGGTCACTTCCCGAAACCATGGAAGGAAGCCACGCTTGTGCTATTACCAAAGGGTAAGAAACCATTGGAATTGCCGTCGTCGTACCGGCCGATATGCTTGATCAACACCATCGGCAAACTCCTCGAAAGAGTAATTAAAAAGAGACTGGATTCTCACCTAGAAGAGACTAGCGGGATAAGCGATCGCCAATTTGGCTTCGTGAAAGGGCGTTCCACGATAGACGCGATAGAAAAGGCAATGGAAGTGGTGAATAAAGCAGGAACAGGTCCACACTACAAGAGGGAGCTGTGTGCCATGGTATGCCTCGACGTGGCGAACGCGTTTATTTCGGCCCCATGGCAAATATCGAAGATGCCTTGGTAAAAAAGGAAGTGCCTGAATACCTGGTGTGCATCTTGAGAAGCTACCTGAGCAAGAGGGCAATATTATACGGCGTGCAGTAACTAGCGGCCAGCGGGGTGCCCCAAGGATCGGTGCTCGGACCAATCTTATGGATCGTGATGTACGATGATTTGCTGCGCATCGCGATGCCAGGTAACATCCGAGGAATGTCGAGTTCTAGCCTCATAGCTTTTGCTGACGATGTCGCAGTGGTGGTGATAGGGCGTACAACAGCTCTCCTGGAGGAGTCCATGAACCCATCTCTGGACGCAGTGGCAAGATGGATGGCGAAGACAGGTCTTACGTTGTCAGTGAGCAAGACCGAAGCGATAATGCTGACTACCAAACGCGGGTACACGCAGCCTAGATTCTTCCTGGAAGGTGAAATGCTGCAACTGAAAGAGCACGTGCGCTACCTAGGAGTGGAGATGTGCAAAAAACTAGGCTTCGGAAAGCACTTGAAGTGTGTGGCAGCCATGGCAACAACAAAAATTGCCTCGCTGTCAAGGCTAATGCCGAACATCGGCGGTCCAAGGCAAAAGAAACGACAATTACTACTGTCAGTCGCGCAGAGCCAGCTGCTGTACGCATCACCTATATGGGCGTCTGCATTAGTTTTTGATGTCAACAAAAAGGAAATGTTGAAACCGCAGCGGCTGATGGCTAAAAGAGTGGCGTGCGCCTACACGACTGTATCAACAAACGCCATTATGGTGGTGGCAGGTATGCTACCTTTGCACATCATGGTATTGGAGAGCAATGCCATCCACGCGAAGAAGGCGGGATTAACTCTACCGACCAAGCGAGAGCTGAGAGAGGACTCTATGAACAAGTGGCAAACTGAATGGGTGCAAAACACCGGTACTGGAGGATGGACACAGCGGCTAATTCCAGATGTGAGACCATGGGTGTCGAGGTCGTTTGGCACAATGAACTACCACATCACCCAGTTTCTGACCGGACACGGGTGTTTCGGCGAATATTTGTGGAGGTTCAAGGAGCATGACATCTCTGAATGTCACGACTGCCTTGACCCTACTGATAGCGCCGAGCACGAGTTCTTTGAATGTGACCGGTGGTGGAAACAACGCAGATAACTCGAAGTGAATACGGACAAAGAATTTACTCCGGAAACAGCGGTGAAGACGATGCTCGAAAGCCGTGAAAAATGGGACGCAGTGTGCAGTTACATGGTAAACGTCCTCAAAATAAGAGAGGAAGAGGAACGTCAACGTCAGCAGGTTCACTCAGCAGTCAGATAATTAGTATTTTGTAATTAGTAATTGTGTTGTGGCCCGAAGGGTAATCTTGAGGGGATAGAGCCCCTTTACTTTGTAAATAATAATATTGTGAGGACCAGTGAGTGGGAGATTGGCCCCACCACTGTCCAACGTTGTTTGGTACGTTGTTTAATAAACGGCTTTCGGCCTCCTGGGGGTAGGATTACCGAAAGGCAAAGTTCCCCCCAGTTGGTCATGAAGAGCACATGCAAACAAAAAAAAAAAAATTACAAAAGTTGGTTCTGAAAACATTTCTAAGAATTTCTAATTAAAAAATAATTTGCAAATTTTACCGATTTTGACAAATTTCGTTAAAAGACTGACATCAAAAAATATTGTGGATTTACACTCAATTGTTTTTTTAATTACACTATTATTTATATTAAGGGGCCTGATTACGGCTATTATTTAAGGAGCAACATTTAGGCAATTTATAATCACGTTTTAACCGCCAGGGATCTGTGTGTTAATTATAAATGATGTCTAATTATTTATTAATGTGAGTGAAATTCAATGCGGTCCACTCTCGTACGCCTATGCACGTCATGTCGATAACTCGATAAAAATGTACGAAAATGTACCTACCTACTTATTGTCTTGACAAAACCTAAGTTAGTTCCGATTTTGATTCAGACAAAATATTTAAATTCAGCAGAAAAATGTCTGTGTTTTTGTTTTAATTTTAATTTTAATTATGATATGAAAAAATTTATATTTTCAAATTTTCAATTTTAGTTCACAATAATAAAAGATTTAATTTTTACAGTGTTCCATACGATCTATAAATAATTTTTCTATCGAGTTCAATTTTTTTGTTTTTGCAGAAACGTAATTTTTTTAGAACATAAACTAACTTTAACTTTGTCAACATTTAAGGTCTTATTTGAGCTAAAATTGATGGCAGTAGCGGAGCCACTTAACAACTTACGAGGAACAATTTCTACTCGTAGTCGTACTATAGTATTAAAATTCCAAGTTTTTTGTTTGATCAACAATAATTGAAAAAAAAAAACGTGGATATAAATAAATACCAAGCTATCTATCTAACCTAACTAGTAGTTTTATACATAATTGTGTCTTAATTAATTGGACTTTATTGTCCAACTGTGGTATTATACATTTTGAAGGTATTTGAATTAGTGTTAATTTTATTCCTGATATTATATCTGGATTCAGATTTACATGATATATGTTTATATTTATATATTCAAATTGTACTTTAAATTCATAAAATAAAAGTTTAGTAGGGTATAACCTTGGCTTGTCAAGTATTAATCTTAATAAACTATTTAAAATGGTAATTAGAGGAGTACAAATGTATATCATTTAAGTGCCACCCCATATCGTAATTCCACAGGAATAGTTCTCATTAAATTGACATCTACAATATATTTTAATATTTTAAATTTATATTGTAGTTTCCTAAGTATCAATAATAATTTGCATATTATGTTTAGATCCCATTTGAGTCAATCTAACCTTTATCAATAATTAGACCCAAATACTTAACATGATCCACTTGCTTTAGTTTAATATAGTCACAATTTTGGGTTTTTGTATATACAATTATAAGAATGAGAAGATAATTTTATCAGAATCATCATCATAATATATAATGATTTTTAATTAAAATGTATATAATTAGATTTATTTAAATGCATACTAAGGAAATTAGTATCATACCATGGTTTAACCATATCTAGGCAAGTTTTAGTATTGTCATATAACATATTGTGTGTGTCCTTAGCTTTAACTTGAATTACAGTGTCATCTGCAAAACTGTATACTTTTCCAGGTAGATTTGAAATATTTAGTAAACCATTAACATAAATATTAAATAAAATTGGGTCCAATACAGTTCCTTGAGGAGAACATAACCACATGTAATAATAGAGGATTCACTGAGTTTATTATTTATTAGTAAATTAATATTAGTGTTAAACAAAAATATAATTAAATTGATAAAAATGTATTATACATGAGTATTGAATAATATTTTTTAAATGGTCAACTCAAAGAAATGTATTTTAAAATATATAAAATACTGAAAGCTAATATTAATTTAAACATTTTACTGCTACTGCTTAACTTTTTTTTTATAGAAATCCTGAAGCTGCTGGGTTGTATGCTTATTCTACAGCTGAGAGCACAATGCGACTTGCCAGGAGAAATTCCCTTCCACCACTGCCTCATTCATTGGCTGAATTAGCCCATGTTTTTGAGATTAGGAGTTTGGGCCAGTATACATGCTGTGGCGAGTCTTTATTTAAGGTCTGTGTGCGCGATGTTGATGGGCGAGGATCCATGATATTCGCGTGCACAGCTTTAATACAATTAGTAGTTGGTCAGAACATGGAAGAAATGCATGTGGACGCAACGTTCAAAGTAGTCCCTTCAAACATGGGAAACCAAATGTTGAGTATACATTGCATAATTAGAAACCATGTAAGTTATATTAAGATCATAATATAACTTAATACTACATTTTTAACTAATATTTTATTACCAAAATGCACTAGGTAACCTGCAAAGTAAAAAATAATTACAAATTTTACTAAATTGTTTAGACTAGTTGTATTACTTTGTGAGGATTTGATAATTTTGTGGACTATCAAAAACCACCCACGACCGAAGGGGAACACTTCGATCGTGGCCTGTGAGCCACACCGCGTGAGACCCGAGGGTCAAGTCGGTGGAGCTCACAGGCTTTGTACACGCATGGGGTAATGAAACCAGCGGCGGATTGGCCCACCGGGATACCGGGAAAGTTCCCGGTGGGCCGGTTGTCGTATTATAACTCTGGGCCGATGTATATTTTGGATTAAAAATTATTTTTAAGTATATTGTATTTAATTATGAGATAAGATTGTTATTGTTATAAAAACCTAAACATGATGTAAACAATTCTACAATCATTTATTCTATAAATAATAGCTGCATGGTTAGTGAACTAAGGTAAAGTGATAAAAATATTATTATCACGTAACATGTTCGTGGTAAATGATACAGCTGTTTTGTTGATTACATTCAACATTCATGGACCTTATAGTATCTACTATCTACTGTATATTAAACAACATGAAGACTATAATATTCTAGGTTACTCTAGAACGCTTTTATAAATTTCTAATGTCTTATTAGTTATTTGTCCAAAAATGTATAAACTGCCTGAGTAAAATAAGAAAAGGTGGAGCGCAAAAATTAAGGGAAAAAAAAAAAAATATTACTTGCGGATACTGCTAAGTCATGCCAAAATATTCGCTCTATAATGTCTAATTAAAACGTAAAAAATAAAGCAATGGAGGTAAGCAATTTAAAATATTAAGGATTTTACTTATTAGTTATTCTTATCTAGTCCTGCATACTTTTATACTTAATTTAATAATTTATATTTTTAATATTAATTTAACCTAAATCAATTTTATACAATGATATATATATATTTTACCTTAAATTCTAGGAACAATCTGTTATTGAAAAAACTAAAACAGAAATGTTTCAAAAACCCAGTTGTAATGGGATTACGTATTATCATGTATTTGCTCATAAAAACAACCAGGAATGCGACCACACCCAAAAGTATATATATATATACCTAACCTAACCTTTGCTGTATTGGTTAAAAAAAAAAATAAAATGTTTTATCTTAAATGTGTTGTTATTCGATTTAATATCTCGTGGTCGTATGGCGTGGTCGGTTAGTACGTATAAAATAATTTAAAATGTTTTTCAGGTAACAGGTTAGTAAGTATGTATAATTTCCCTTCTAGTATGTACTAATCGAACATCTATACGATCACAATTTTTTTGCATTTTTTTCTATCAGAGTTTTTAGTATATAATAGGACTGCAAATGAAAAAACTAGCAGTTCAATGTATAACTCCTAACAGTTATATCCTACTTTTTATTTATACAAAAGATTTTTTTTAAATAAATTTAACAAAAATAACTTCACTATGAGTCCACCAATAATTGTCAGTAAGTCTACATTCGACATCCGGGCTTTTAACAAGAAAAGTATTACAGTTGGATTAGGTACTAATTAACAAGCAGATTTCAATTATTTTATTATTGGAATGTAAACTTTCAAAGAAAATTATTACATTAAGTTTAGAAGAATGGTTTACACTGATGTCTGAATCTAATTTCAATTCAATTATTAATAATTTAAATAACAGGGTGAGACGTGTTAAGATTACCGATTCCTTTTCATATTCAATCAATGTTAAACAGAGTTCAATTACCCTACATCTAAACGAGGAATACATTACCTTGTCGCATGTAGATTTGTACCGGCTTCGTCAATTACAGAATTTGATAGATTTGTATGTGGTAGACAAGCAAAAACGTTTAGCAAATTATCAAAATACTTTCAACACTGCATATGACCTAATTAAAAATGACGTCCGTGGTCTGCCGTCCACCTGTCAAAGGAACGAATTTACTAACCAATATATTCAAAACTATGATTTTAATTATTATAATCACCTACAGAACGATGACACATCATTTTTATATGAAATATAACAATTCCATTTTAACACATTGTCTGATATGATTTTACAAGATCTAACATTATAAAAAATATTTAAATATGTATAATTATTGTTTTTTTTTTTAATAAAACTTTTTTTTCAATAATAAACTTGCTTTTTATTTTAATTACATCTCACCTTAAATCATAAAGAATAGTTTTAATTTGTTAATATTTCAAATTACTATAATTTTTAAATTTTTTTCCAACCAACCATAGTTTATAGGTGTATGTTTTCCAAGACCTTTAAGTTTTGAATAAATAAAAACATACATGTATAATATAATTTTGTTTATTAAATGAAACTCATTTTTTCATATAATAATCAAACTGTCGTCTTGCTTTTAATAGTCTGACGCTTCGGATCGGTTAGTAATTTGTCAAATATGGTTTGCATTGCCTCATTAAGACCAGTATGAAGCGTTTGATCTTTTGATTCATCGCTTGTATACAATCTGACATGGTTTATTATAAAAAGCGTTATCTAGCGGAACAAAATACAACAGTATTATTATTATTTTCATTGATTCATTTACCACTAGATGACGCTTTTTATTTTTTTTTATCGATTGTGGATACATTAGGTTAACCAAACAGACTATTGAGGATCAGGAGATCATGTGAAATAATTAATTCGACTTAAAAAAACTTAAATTTTTTTATTTTATTTAAAAAAAATTAACAAAATATTATACATAAAAAAATTATGTTAAAATATCTGATGATGTTATCCATGAATTTTGGCTTGAATCAAAACCTAACCATTTAACAAGCATTTTATTCCCAACTTTTTTTACAATACGTTCAATGAGAAAGGTGTTTGGAAAATCAGTTAATTTAATTTCCTGTTCATAAAAACCACCTAAGATTATATTGTCTGATTCATCATTTAGTTGATAAGTTACTGGATTTGTCTGTAAAACTTTTGAAACTGTAAATATTTCCGTTGTCCAATTTGGTGTATATCCTTTACTAAATATATGTTTATACTTAGATATTCTTACTTTGTCATTAACTTTAAATTTTGGATTATATAATGTATCATTTATTTGTGTATTAAGTTTAATATTGTTTGTATCCATTCGAGCTTCATTCGGTGTACATTTGATTGTTCTATGTTTTGTATTATTATAATTTTGTGTAATTTTTGATAGTGTATTATACCAATTCTATGTACCAGTAGCAGTAAAATGTCTATATATATTATTCTTAATAGATCTGATCACGCGTTCATTTAATAACACTGTATGAACTGTAATGTTTAATTTTATATTTTTTCATTAAATATTGAAATTAAGCATTGTACAATTCTGTACCATTATCTGTCTGTAATAATTTCGGATGAGCTTTTTTCAATATATTAAACATACCTTTTGTACATTCTTTCGGTGTTTTATGTTTCAACGCCTCAAGCCATACGTACTTACTATATGTATCTATAAGAACTAAAATAAACTTTAAACCATAATTTTGTCTAGAATGAGATTGCATGTCCATTAAATCAGCTTGCCAGAGGTCATCAATAAACCGCGTTACTACACTGCGTCTAGGAAATATTTTTCTCGCTGGCCGATGTAATTCATTAGCTATACTCTCTAAGGGAGTCATTATACTATAATATTTCTCTCACGTAGTTCTTCTAAAATACATATTATTTCATTATTCACACTAGTATTACCAACACTTTGTGATGATGTCAAAAGATTTAATCTAGTTACTAGCTCATTCGGATCGTTATTTCAATTTTTATTATTTTTATTAATATTATTATTTTTTTTTAGAATATTTCATATTTCTGGATAGAATTGCTCCTTTAATTAAAGATGTGAAAGTAGATAATGAACTTATTAATTCGATGATGGTGAAACAAAGTGATGAAATAGTAAACATAAAATTGCCATTTGATAACGAAGTATGTAGTGATTACTGGACAATAAATCACTATAAAATAAAAAAATATTCAAAATCTTATTGCTACAGACAGGTAATATATATTATATAAATATATGATTCTTAGAATTTACATGAATACAACTTACAATGACTAACTCCTAAAAAAAAAAAATAATTTAAGAAATTCATTGGTTGATAAAGGTTCTTATAATATATTAATGTGTCTATATGTATATATATATTTGTAATGTAAAATACTTATCATTTTAATGATGTTATAGATGGAAAGAAGCTGAGTGCAGTGTAAAAGTATCGATTACTGATTTAGCAAACTGCAAAGGATCAAGGCTGGCAAACGATTTATCCAACATCATACAAACAATATTTACACGGTCCATGTCTAATCCAAACAAGAAAATAGGATGTATTAAAAAATCAAAATCATAATAAATCTGTTTTTAATGGTTGTTGAAAATTAAAATAAAAAACCAATATATTAACTAATCGTACATTTATTTTTAAAAGTGATACAAAAGTAGTGTATATGATTTAGTGTCATGATGTGTAAAAATAAATTACAGGTTAATAGCTGATGTACCTAATTCTAACTCTTGTAATATCATATTTGATAATGAGTTATAATGATATTGTAATAATTCATACATAAAAGAAATATCATTAGTTTCTATATTAGTATAACTTAAGTTATAATTCTGAATATATGAGTTTGTAAATTCATTCCGTCGACAAGAAGAGGGTAACCCGTTAATATCTGCCATAATTAATGCATATGCTGTGTCAAAAGTCTTCTAGTAACATGGTAATTTTTTCTGCTTCTCGATTATATAGAGATCGATACAAGCTCCAAGCTGATTCAGCCTTTGCAAATCGACATGTGATAAAGTTATATAATTTTCATTAGAATATAATATGATTGAAGACTGTTTCACATTAACGGAATAGCTTAAGTTATCAGTTATTCTTACACGTTTACATCGGTTTTGTAGATTATCAACAATTGCTTTATAATTATTTTCACACATTAATGATTGCCATTGGTCTAGATCGAGGCTTAAACTCTTTTTAGTAATTATACATTTTAATATTACAACAATCGAAATCTTTTTGTTAACTAACAAACCTAGTGTTACACTTTTCTTTCCATATTGACGAATTTCAAATTCTGACCTTGAGACAACCGGTGAAATCATATTGTAGCGAGCTTATAATACTTACCGATACATTTTTGTTCGTTCTGGCGATTATTGTTTTAAAAAATTATACTATGATTATCAGAGTGTTAATTGTATACTGATTATATTTTATTCATACAACAACGTTTTATACTAAAAAAGTTAAATACAATTTCAAAAAAGTAAATACGTGACCTAATTGATAAGTGTGGAGGGAGGGAGCTTATTATTAATTATATATCTTGTATTATTCCTGCAAATTAAATTAATCAAACATCTTTTACCTAGATTTGAACCTTATATATTGAATTAAAAACTTCACGTCTTATCCATTAGGTCACGTATTTACAAGATATAGAATGGAATAATAACACATTTAAACTGTTTTAATAAAATACAAAATTTTATTTTAATATCGTTTATACGTTTAAGCAGTTGAGCGAGTGACATATTTAGTTTCACAATTACATTAAGTTCTTCCATATTTGGTTAATATGTTTTCTACAAAGTGGTTACCTTTCGATAATAATACATAAATACATTTGGAATTATGTCTCGAGTGTTCGATCCATGGAATGTCATCTTTCTTCCAGTCATGTAATACAAGTCCGCAAGAGAAGCATTCCACAATATCTTGAACCCCTGTATATATAAAGCCGCATTCAGACAATACATATTTGTTTTGAGGTATAGTTGACGGAAATATATTATATGTTTTTAATCTTGATGTGAATGTAACATATTGCGGATATGTTGGATATGGTTGGTTTGGTATTAAAAAAACTAATGAAGAATAATTGCTGGTGGTTTTTTGAAAGTTCATGTTTTTTTTATTTTAAAGAAAAAACATTAAATTGGAAATTTTTATTTAAAAAATAAATGTATAAGTGAAACAAGACAATAAAATAAAAAGCATAACTTGGTTTAACAACGGATTATTCGTTATTGAAATGTATAGCTAACTTAATTTTAGTACGAGTGACTATAAAAAGTTCAGTGTTGCCAACGCTTATGAGTAATACATTGATGGTAAAAACATATTTATTTTGTTTGATTAACAAAATGATATAGACACAGTTATGTGTTGTGTACTTGTGTTGTACACAACACATAACTTTTACTTGTGTACAATTTGTGTTACACGGAGGAGCATGTAGAAATGTCCCGCTTGAAATGAAGAAATCTCCCTGTAAAAAAGGTGCTCAGAACGCACATTAGGGTTTTTGAGATTATGTGTTACACGGTGGAGCATGTAGAAATGCCCCCTTGAAATGATGAAATCTCCCTGTAAAAAAGGTGCTCAGAACACACAAATATATACTACTAATATTATAAATATAAAAATTAAGAATATACAACATAATTTTAATCATGTTTATTTAGCAATCAAGTATTAGAAATTACTTAAATGAATTTTACTATTATAATTTATAAACTATATACGTATTAAGTATAGTTTTATACTTATTTCTATTTAAAAATTCAACATAATAAACAGATACCCTCATACCTATGTTTATTTGAACTTTTTAAAGGTTAAATAATTTTGTTTATACAACTTTTGTTTTACTAATCTTTGTAAATAGTACTTACAAGAAGTAAAAAATGTAGAACCAAAAAGTTTGTAGGTATACGCTAGTTGGCAAATAATATGGTTACTCAACTCCTAATTTATTCCGAAATGTATTAAGAAAATGTATTTAATATACTTTTAAGAATATAATTTGCTATGAAACATGAATTGTGATTAAAGTATTCTTTAATAATAAATTATTTCTAGTTACTATGGACATATGGTACATCATAATTGGTAGAACAATTCTAAAATAATTATTGTATTTATTTTATATATTTATTTATTTACGGAGTTACGTGTTACGGACACGCCATAAATCGTTGGCATTGCGCTGGCCCAGCATCATCTTACCAGATCTACGTCTACGTTAATGACAATTCCATTCATTAGAAGCTAATACTATGTATAGGTACTTAATATAACATATATGATTTAATACTCATAACACACAATTATTGAATTTCGGGTACTACAATTAAGTAGAAATAATATTTACAGTGCCTTTGTCGGACAGTCAGTTGTTTCAGCTGAGCCTAAAAACAGGACGACGCCGAACATGCCAACAAACCGTTCTAATTTCAAATTAAACCGTCCACATATTATAATACACAAGTCTGCGTAGGCGTGAACAAATTATGACTAGTTGGTTTGAAAATTTGCATTTAAAATCTATTAAAAAAATTTTCTTTTTCATCAAAGCATTTTGACATTTCGTCTTCTTAGTTAAGACCAGACACAATTAGGACACGGAATAAAATGTTTACGAGAATGAGCATCGCACGACACGATGGTAAAAATAATAAAGACAAAAGTCGACGACCAGTCGGCCCGCAGCCAACTGCGGAAGTGCCGACAAACAAAAGTTTCATAGAAGACGGTCGACCACACTAGCGCCACGAGCGGTTTAAAACTCACACAACAAGTTGCATGCATTTTTTGCATTACAAACCGTTAGAAACTAGTGCTCTGGTGAGCAACTTGCATACTATTTATGTGTGGTGCATCGTGTGTGGGACCAATCATTAAAATCACTCGTTGCGTTGTTCAGTCATTATCAAAAAATAAGGTTTAATAGTAGGTGCCTATTTAAACACCTATAATGCAACCCAAACTTCCACAGTATTGTGTATCTATAAATGGAATATTATGGTAACTTAGATTAATATGGACACAATTTCTGGTTGTACAAATGTTTCCAAAATTAGCTAGGTCCAAATAAATTTACTGTCGTAGGTGTAATGTTCGAGGATGATCAAAAAAAAAAAAAACATGGGTGGTTGGTGGGATTTGTAATCTTCTAAATTATCGTCTTAAATTTAAAATTCAACATTTTTGTACAAAATCCTAACCTAGTTAAATCTTAACCTAACCTAACCTAGTACAAAATCCTAACCTAACCGTACTAAAATGAGAAGGAGAAAAATAAACCTAATTTAACCATTTCCAAATTAGCCAATCTTTTTCCCAGATGTCTAATATGCACACAAACATTCAATTATATATATATATATATATTTATTGACAAAAAATAATAATACAAATCATCAATCATGCCCGATTAACCAATAGCAACCAAAATATAATAAACTATTATTATTATTATTTTTAACTCCATAACTCCTGAACCACTTATCGCACAGCGTAATAACTTCACAGAAACCATCTAAATATCAATTTTAATATGCCCTGAAATTTTTATCGAAATCGGTTTTTTGAATCTTGAGTTATAAAATGTATTCAAAATATACACTTATTTTTTTTGTATTGAATATACTGCGTAGTGCGTAAAATATATGATGTCAGATTAGGATAAAGTAGTAGACGACAGACGTACAGCATTTAATAATCAATTAACTTCTATCGTCAAAAAGACAACGCCTACTACCTTGGGCCCGTGGCTCTGTCCGCCGACAACGAGTTTAAATATATAGATTATATTATCTTTGGTGCAGTACAAATCAAAATCGTATAATATATAATATCGGTAGGTACAATATACCAATTACCAATATATACGGTTAATTAACGATGTATTAAATATACTACGCACTAGGCACGCCCGCAGATAAATAGTTCACTAGATGCAAACATACTTTTAGTGACAATATAAGCTGTGGGGGCTTTGCTCCCCAATTGCTTACCATTATATATAATATAATGACATATTTATGATACATTTTTAAAAATATAAGAATTCATAATTTATATTGATTAGGTACCTAATAATTAGATACTTACCTACATAATGGTTAATATAAATTGGTTATCAATTGGAGTATAAAATAATTAAATGTTTGGAAAAATATACCATTTAATGAATCAGTCCTAATTTTAGTGATACCTACGTTAGTTTCATGTTTTATATTATTTATATCCAAGTAAAAATGTTAATTGCAATTTTAAGCATTAAATGTAATTGTTTTACAATGCAATTAAAATATGAGTATATAATGGTATAACAATACAATAAACAATCTGTAGTGTTATGTATATAAGTGTACTATATAAGTGTATATTAGTGTACTATAATAATAATACTATCATAATATTTTATTTTTATACAGTAGAAACCAATATATTATTATAATAATGAGTGGATCAAACATACCTACCCATAATAATGTACCTCGCTACTGCCGTCAATTTTAGATTAAAAGATCTTAAGTTTTAAAAAAATTAAAGTTAATTTACGTTGTCCGATTTTTATTCTGAAAAACCCGAACTCACCAGAAAATTGTCTATAGATCATACGGAACGCTTGTAAACATTAAATCTTATATTATTGTAAACTGTAATTGATTAAATATTGCCTAAATGTTTCCCCTCAAATAATAGCCATAGCGGGGATCCTTAACGAAATTAATATTTTATAATATCATTTAGTGACCAAAATAAATGTATTAATAGACGCGTGGTATACAGTTCTTGATTTGGGACCATTTCGCCGAAAACCTATCTCGCCGAAACCTATCTCGCCGAAACCCATCTCGCCGAAGCATAGTAAAATAGAATTTTGTTTCGTTATAATATTATTTTAAAATATATAGTCAAATAAAATGGTGAAATAATAAAAATAAATTAAATAATTACATTATAGTAAAAATAATTAATATTTAGTAAAAAATATATAAAAACATTTGTCAAAAATGTATAGTCAAATAAAATCGTGATATAATAAAAATAAATGAAATAATAATTACGTTATAGTAAAAATATATAAAAACATTAATTGTCAAAAATGTATAGTAGAAATTAGTAAAAATAATAAATATTTAGTAAAAATATATAAAAACATTAATTGTCAAAAATTTATAAAAAAATTTATATTTATATTTATAATTTTATTCAAGATGGAAGTGGTAAATAATCGCATCTAGATATTCTATAATAGATATTTGTCCATTTCCAAATCTGAATTAAACATACATTTGAGGTATTAATATAATATTATAATAATTATATAGTTAATTATTTAGTATTTACCGCTCTTTTCCCGTTTTTAATCGGTCTTCTAAAGTTTTGTACTTTTTCCTCATTTTCGGAGCTTGGTTACATTTTTTTTGAGTAAAACTTATTTAACCACTTTTTGTCACAATATATTAGGAACGTTGTATTAATTTTTTAGTCTTTATGACCTAACAAATACAATTTAATTTTAAATTTATTTTAAATTTTTCGGAAAAATGGGATTCGAAAAAATAGCATTCGGCCAAATGGGATTTTATATTAATCCGTATACAACTGTTTTATTTGTCGGTAAAGTAGGATTCGGCGAAATGGGACGATACCACAGTTCTTACATCATTGTACATTAGTATATAATGTAATCGGTCGACTGCTATTGTTATTATTATATGAATATAGATATACAAATTACATCTAAACATTTTTTTTACCGATTTCAACCCTTTAAATTCAAAATTTCGAAAAATCCTTTCTTAGCGAATGCTTACGCCATAATAGCTATCTGTATGCCAAATTTCAGTCCAATCCGTCCAATGGTTTGAGCTGTGCGTTGATAGCAGTCAATCAGCTTACTGTTTTATATATACAGATTATTATTATTGTTTACCGACGTCAGATGCTGATCCGGTACCTGAAAAGGGATCGTCCCGGGGTTTACAGTTCACCACGTCGGTGATTGTTTTCGGAAGTTCGTCGACACCGGAGGACGCCTTTTCTTGTTTATACCGCGCTGCCATACCGAAACTTTTCGCCTCCGCATTTCAAACCAACATATTGTTTAAGTGTCAGCTGCAATAGTAGCTGAATTTCCACACTACCCATGGGGTATCAGCTACAGCGCGTTTTTTTTTTTAAAGTGGTTTCCCCAAGAGGCCTATTCCACTGACGTTCCAACGTCGGTTCCTTGTATTTTTTACATTTATTTTTTATTGAACTTTTTTAAGATGCTGTTCATCATTTTCTCTTTATGTTGTCTCAGAAAGTAGATAGTTCGTTTTTGTTTTGTTATATCTACAATAGCGTGCCGGGTTATGTTGTCTTTGTTGTAAGTGAGTCGGGATATTTCATACATTATGTCCATTTTCTCCTCCATCACACTACCGTCATATTTTGACCTAACCGTATTCACAAACGAGTCCGTTATAACGGCGCCTGGATGTTTTTGGAGTGCATTGGAACCGTCAAGTTTTTCCCTCACGCATTCATCGGTCATATTGACATATGGTTCGTTTCCAAATACCTCGTGGAAGCTGTAATAAAATAAAAATTTGTTATCGTTATGTACTCTTTGATATAAATCATTCAGTAACTCACTTTTCCAAGGTCTCCGCCTCAAACATGGCAGTCTGATCTACCAGGTCAATATGTTTCTACCGGCAGATGGCCTCCTGTGTGCCCGGCAACCTATAAAAAAAATCAGCCACCACATCTGAGTGCTGCAGCGATTTTGCAATGTTTTTGCTGGTTTCAGGTGCGTGGCCTATGGATTCGATTTCCACCATTTTCCTAAACAAGCAGGCCGACAACTTGCCCTTGTAAATTTTATTGATTCCGTCGTAAAGTTTCACATCTGTTTGTAATAAAAAATTGACAAGCCTGTGTTGTGACGCGGTGGCGTAGAGCGTAGTCCTGCAAAAATGTCACTGTTAGATGAGCAACTCTGAGTATAGATGAAGCTAACTACTCACCGGTGCATGTATTCCGTCAAGTTCTCATTCAACACAATGGAGGCCGGTTGTTTGTCCCCGGTTTTGTGTTTGGCCACGGTCAGGACGGTATTGCTGCAGTCCGTTCTCCTGGCCTCTCACTCCTCCGTTGTAAGATTGGCCGCTACACCACTTCTATGTTTTGACCTACAAAGCAGTAACAACATCAACCCACAGGTCACCCAGTTCCCAGTCCTCTGTTCTGTAAATTCAAATGTTGGAATTAGATAAGGTGTCATGTCCGGTAAGGATCAAAAATACTTACATGTTTTTGGAGAGGTGTTGACGTTTTGTCCGATGAAAGTTTTATTGAGCCTTCTGCTCCAAAGTACTCCATCTGATTTAAGAAATCAGGCAGGGTGTTCATTAGTTCTTCCATCACACCGTGATTTTGAGAGTAGTCTGGGGCGCTCACTGCCTCAGCGGTCTTCCTTTTGAAGAGCTCGCCTGGTTGTAGTTTCAGTTTTCGGGCATATAGGAGCTTCAGCTTTTGATGGAGGAGCTTCATCGAGTTCAATTTCTGTACACTAGGGCCACCGTCAAATGATTTTGGGAATGTCGAGTCTTCCTAACTATATGTATTTAATGCCGAGGTCACTAGCGTGTTTAGGTTTTTCAAATAATTAATGGAAGTGGCGATTGTTTGGCCCAATTTTTCACGCCTGTGAAAGTAAAAATAATATTGTTATAGTTGAGATAAATGTTAGCTTACATTGCCGGAACTTACTCTTCCAAGAATTGTATATATGGATCTTCGCTGCAACACAGCAGATCCTACCAATGGCCAGGAGGAGAGCCACGTTTAGTGAGCCACGTGGAGACGTAAAACAAAATATGGGACACGTTTGCCACGTACTTGTTTACGGCACTTGTGTTGCGTCCGTGGAAATCTCCAGGTTCTTGATGTGTAGCGAAATTAAAGGGTGGGTTCTTGGCAGCTGCTCCTGGAAGCCATGATCCACCATCTGCTTCCTTAATTGTTTGCTGGTTAACAAATCAGAATTAATATATCGTCAATGGACATTAAATTGATTGGGTAATCGTCATCAACTTACGGTGTAGTATGTTCCGCTTCGATATTTTCTTCGACCTGTACGGCAACTTCTCGGACGGGATTATGCGATGGATTTTATTTGGTATCTGTGATGACGGCTCCTCCTCTACAATGAAATCTGCTAAAGGGTTAGGGATGGTTGGGCTCCCCGGGATGTCCCACGACTCGCCGTACACCTTGAGCCTTCCCATGACACACAGCCTAAAATGTTGAAATGGAACACATAATTAAAGACAAATATTTTCAGATTCAATATTTATATAAATCTATAATTACTTGACAGCGATTACCAACTGGTCTTTAATGACGGACATCGGCACCAAGGAGACGGATCGCCTGGACTCCGAGCCAAATATTTTGCCCATGCCATCTAGGCTCGTTTCGACCATGGCAAGAAAAAAAAATTCTTGAAAGTGCCCTCTGGTGGCAGTACGGAAAATTTAGGGTGGGTTAGCTAATTTTTTTCTTACTCGGTTGTGAAATACTTTCGAGTGGAATTTTAAAAATATAATAGGGAAGATGAACTCAAATTTAAAACTCCCGGGGTGATCGTCGGCGTTCAAGCTAGAGTTGCCGGGTACGACCGCGTAAGAAAAAAACCTTTTTCTTAAAGCGCAACCTGGGGGCAGGTAAAAAAACTTGTATAACAAAATAGTCAGGGAACGCGTCACTGGCACTGCGACGACGTCGGTTCGGGCAACACCATTTTCGAATTTTGCTCGAAACCACCTATGCAACACTAGTGCTGTTGAAACTGTCCCCGTCATGAGGTCTGTGGTAAAAATTACTATAAATCTATATCTGAATGAAAGAAAACTAAATCTAAATAAAGCAGTAAAAAATTGCAATCACGCTGAGTGAAGACTTCCGACCGAAACAAGCCAACTTTCGTAATACAGATTTCATCCACGAGATCACAGATACCTCATTATTCACTGTCGGTTGTTACTAAAGTTTTTTTTTTATTATTATTGGAAAACTCAACGAACAGTCTGATAAACGGTACAATGGCGGAATTACTCCAACTATTGCCCCATGGAATGCGACGAGTGGGACGGCCGATGCAATGCCGGAATACTTCAACTATTACACCATTGGTCGCCTCTTAAACCGTTCGGCGAGTTCGCCTTAAGCTGGGACATTATTTCTTTCCTAGCCGCGTAAGTCGGGCAGGGTGGGTCTTACAACGACGTCGGAAAAAAAATTTGAAAATAAAAATGTAGACAATAATAATAATAATAATAATAATAATTTATTTACGGAAATAAATTCCAATTACAAAAATATTGGAGTGACAGTTTGTGTTAAGTGCACAATGTGCACATAATATGGGTTACAAATTAAAAGTAGGTAATGTGAATACAATACAAATAACATAAAACAGAACAAAATAGAGAAAAGAACAAAAGAAAAAAAAAAAGTTTATGTATACAAATATTAAATATTAAATAAGGATTTAAATTTAAAGATAGGTATTATATAAAAGCAGCATAATATGAATAAATAATTATATTGAGAGTATAGTGGTTATAAATGTATGTAGAAGAAATAAAAAGGGGGAAAATATGATATAGAAAGCAGAGAAATAGAAGATGATAAGAGAAAATTAGATCAAATATTAGACAAATTAAATAAGGTAGTGTTAAATAAATCTAAGTCTTTAGTTGAATTAGCTGCTGACATAAGTATATTTGCAGGGGTATATAGCATATAGTTTGAAGAGAAAGAGGAAAGATAAAAAGTGGAATTATTTCTGGAATTAGATTGGTTTACTCTAAAATTTAAACGTTCGATTATTTCGGGACAATCTATAATATTATGTAATAATTTATATAAAAATTTACAGTTTAAGATAATAAATCTTTTATTTAGGGGCAATATTTTAAAGAGATTACAAATGGTTTCATATCCAGAATGAGGAGTTCTTATATAATGATATTTATATGATAGGTATCTTAAAAAGTTATTTTGTACAGAAGATAGACTATGGTTTTGGATAATATTATTAGTACGCCAAATTATAGAGGCATAGTCAAAGTTAGAACGAACTAGCGTAAAGTACAAGATTTTTAGGGCTGATTCATCGTAAAAATCTTTACACATACGTTTTACTAAGCCAAGTTTCTTGTAGGATTTGTTTCTTATATAATTAACATGAAAATTGAATGAAAGTTTTGTATGGAAAAAAACACCTAAGTCTTTAATTATATAATTACGTGTTAAGATTGAACTATTTAATGTGTAATCAAAAAGTAAAGTATTTTTTTTTAAAGAAAATGAGACTATAGCACATTTATCAATATTCAAAGACATATCATTTTCAATACACCATTGATAAAGGCTGTTTAAGTCACATTGTAGTTCCAGTGGCGTATTTACGGGGGGGGATATGGGGGATAGATCCCCCCCTTGACCTTTTTTTTTTCCTAGGTAGCTAACTAGCTAAGTTGTCTCATTTTCTCTAATATTCTTAATATGATATAATTATAAGTGAAATTACTTTCAAGCATGTATGTTTAATAAATGTTCTAGTCGTGGTAATTGTAGTAATTGTACCGCTCTGATAGTCTGATATACTAATCGCCACTAATCGTTGGCGGCATGTACGACTATCAGGCAACAATAACTATACCTATATTATGGTGTACTGTATTTTGTACGTTTCTGCGAATTATTTTTCATGCAAGAGTGTTTATAATAAACCCGATAAGCAATCGGTAAACAAAACAAAATTACCATGAATACCGTGGATTAACCATAGGCCGGGTTTATTTTTAGAAAATTTGTTACTAGTAGATTTATGGCTAATCGCTAATGTATAGCGATTATAGATATTATTATTACATTATATTTTATCGTATGATATCGTGATTTGTGAAAAGTAGATATTTACGGTCGTTGGACGTTGACGGATAGCGAGTAGCGACGCCATTCCGAGTACTGACTTACTGCCGAATTAACTATTGTTCGACTTTTATTTTTTTCGTCTTGTTAGTTGTAACTGTAAAGTTTTAAGACAATAATACAATATGAGTAATACTCAAAAACAAAAAAACACTTTATTTTCTTATTTTAGTACAAATAAAAAAATTTGTTTGGAAAATGATGAGGTAATTATAAAAATTAATAAAATAATTAATTAAAATTATAAATTGTCATTAATTGTCTTTTTTTATTAATTTGTTTATTTGGCTATTTAGGCTGCATCTGAAGAAGAAGAACATGAGTTATTGCAATCCACATCAAAACCTATTACAAATATAAATGATATTGGTAATATCGTTGATAAATCGTTTTTAAAAGATGCCGATACAAAACTTGTAAGTTTCTTTGTTCCTTACTAATTTTACATCGTTTATGATTTAAATACATTTTTATTCAATATAAATTCAGCAAATTGATTTATAATAAAATTTTAAAAAAGTTCTTCTGTTCTATAGGTGCTTACTAATCTGTGGGTCCCAGATACAAAGTATAACTTTCCTATACTTGAATGCAATAAAAAACGTGGACTGAAATTCCAACATAAGTGGCTTCATGAATTTAAATGGCTTTGTTATTCAGAAATTAAAAGTGGTGCTTTCTGTAAACACTGTGTTTTATTTGCAAAGAGTGGTGGTGTTGGAAGTCAATCTTTGGGAAACTTAGTAACTGAACCCTTTACAAACTGGAAAAAGGCTAAAGAGGTTCTAATTTATTTTGTAATTTGTAATCACGTAATTTTTTAACAAATGATAAAATGCTTTCCAGGTTTTTCGATATCATATGAATTGTAAATATCATTTGTCAGCAGTTCTTGATTCTGAGCATTTTTTGAAGGTTTTAAACAAAGAAGAACCATCTATAATCGAACGAATTGATCGAAATAGGTATTATTATTTTTATACCATAAAATAAATTTATTAAATTAATTTATTGGTTTTAAGGCTTCAACAACTGAGGTCATAGAGGCCAACTGAGGTATTTTATTTTATTATATTATAATATGTATTATATTTTGTGCCAACTACCTAGAATGACTCAAGTTGAAGAAAACCGCAAAAGACTTAGACCGATTATTGAATGTATATTATTATGTGGCAGAGAAGAATTAGCATTACGTGGTCATAAAGATTTTGGTAGCATTTCAGTTGATGGTGAGTTTATATTTATAATGCATTTCTTGAATTATTTGAGATTATTTTGTTCAATTTTTAATTGTATTGTTATTAGAAGATGCTTTGAGACAAGGAAATTTTCGGGCCATACTTAAATATAGAGCAAAAGGTGATGATTTTTTACGAAGTATTCTTGAGGGTCCAGGGAAAAGAAATAAGTACACCAGTCCAACTATCCAAAATGATATAATAGAGTCCTGTAATACAATACTATTGAAAAAAATTGCAAAAAAAGTGAACGAGTCTAAATGTTTCTCGGTACTTGCCGATGAAACCACAGATATTTCAACAAAAGAACAGCTTGCTATTTGTGTAAGATATGTCAGTGATGATAACATGTTGCATGAAGATTTTTTACAATTTTTTGAGATTGAAAGTCTGACTGGTGAAGCTTTGGCAAATTCCATATTAAATATTAATCATGATTTATACTATAGTATTAAATAATAACTGTTATTCGTACATATTTGTATAAACTACTTAGTTATTATCTTTTTTCCAATATTAAGTGTAAATTACAATTTTGTTTTATAGGTTTAAGCAAATGTGGGATTGATTGTAGTTATTTGCATGGACAGGGCTATGATGGGGCCAGTAATATGTCTGGGCAATTTAGAGGTGTACAAAGTATTGTTAGGTTAAAATATCCAAAAGCAGTTTATGTCCATTGTTCAGCACATTCACTGAACTTAGCTGTATCAACAGCTAGTGGTATTAGACCAATTAGGAATTGTTTAGGAATAATTGAAAAGGCCTATCAGTTTTTCAATACTCCAAAAAGAAATTCTATTCTTCTACATGAGATTGAAAATTCAGACCACGAGCCCAGTGTAAAACAATTAAAACGACTATGTGCTACCCGTTGGGTACAACGGTATGATGCAGTGAACGATTTCTCTGAGCTCTATCCATTCGTTCTTAAAGCATTAGACACAATATGTGATTGGAAAGATCCAGCAGACGCCTCTATGCTTAAACATTCTATGGAAGATACCGAATTCTTAATTTCGTTTTATATAGTTAAGGTATTCATAAATGTTTCAATTTTTTACTATACAATTTATAACCTACTTAGTGTTTTAATTAAATTTTTTTTTCAGTTCCTATTTTCTTTTTGTCTTCCTCTATGTAAGCAGTTACAAAAAGTACAAATAGATTTAAAAAAAACTATAGCTATAGTTGAGAATGTAGTAATCACTCTGAAGGCCATTAGAGACAATTACAAAACCGAATTTAGTCAAATCTATATAAATGTTAAAGTAAATAATTAAAAAAAAATAGTTTCATTGTGTTCAAATTTCAAAATGTTAAATATTTATCTTCTAGATGGCTGCAGACAATGTTGGTATTGAATTAAAAAAAAAGAGAGTCATTTCAAAACAAACTTTGAGAGATAATCCAAATCTTCTGGATTGTTCCATTGAACATTATTATTGTGTTACAGTATTTTTACCGTATGTCGATTACTATTTAATGCAATTGACTGAGCGATTTATTAATCATAAAGCTATATTTGAAGGTAAATATATTATATGTATTATATTTAATATTTATACACTTTTTTTTAGAATTTGCAACTTTATACCTATTACATATAATTTATTTTATAGGTTTTAATTGCATTTTCCAATCAGAATCACTTATGGTAGAAATGGAAGATATTGTTGCTTTTCAAAAGCTTGTTGAGTTTTATTCATCAACAATTGACCAACACTCTAGCATTGCTGAATTAAAGATGTGGAGAGTTAAGTTGGTGAATGAAAAAATTGTATTCACCTCTGGGTTACATGCGTTGGATGTTTGTGATAAAGAGTTTTATCCAAATATTCATGAACTCTTGAAAATTTTTTGTACATTGCCTGTATCGACTGCTACACCTGAACGATGTTTTTCAAGTTTGAAGAGGATTAAGTCTTACCTAAGAAATAGTATGACAGAAGTAAATATTTTATCAATTTTCTTATTTAATACTGAAATATAATTATAAATTAGTAATTATTATATACTTTGTTTATAAGAACCGACTTAATGGGTTGGCTTTATTGGCATGTCACCGGTCGATACAAATCATGCCTGATGAGGTTATCGATGAACTGAGCATCCAAAAAAACAGAAAATTGGATTTTGTATTGTAACTATATATTATATATATATATATTTTATTATTATTATTATTATTATTTTTTTTTTTTTATCGTATTAAACACGGGATTGGTGCTAGTATGAACTTATAATAAATGCTATTAGGTACTTATATATTATTTGTGTTAATTTTTATTTTGCCTTGATCCACACTAACCTCAATAGGTAACAAGTTAGGGGATTTTAAAAATGTATATTATGTACGGATTTATGGGTGTTAGGATGTATTATTATATATTTCATCCCCCCCCCTAGCAAAATTCCTAAATACGCCACTGTGTAGTTCTAATGCATCATTAGTGCATTTAATATTCTTATATATTTTTGTGTCATCCGCAAGTAAAAGACAACTTGAATGTTTTAAAATTTTATTAATGTCGTTTATGAATATCGAGAATAGTAAGGGTGATAAGTGATCACCCTGAGGAACGCCAGATAAAATATTAATTTGATCTGAAATATAATTTTCATATTTTTTGGCTTGAGTGCGATTGGTTAAGAAGGAATGAATCCATGAAAGAAGTGGGTCATAAAAACCATAAGCTTTAAGTTTTGTTATTAGAAGAGAATGATTAACTCTATCGAAGGCCTTTTCAAAGTCCGTATAAATAACGTCAAATTGATATTTGTTATTGAAAGATTCCAAAATTAATTGTTTAAATATACTAAGATTAGTTATTGTTGAACGCCCTGGGCGAAAACCATGTTGTTCATTTGAAAGAATGTTTTCACATAATGGAAAAATTTTATTATTTACTAATTTAGAAAATATTTTTGGTAAGATTGAAATTTTAGAGATAGGTCGATAATTAGTAACTAATGATTTATTACCTTTTTTAAAAATTGGTGTAATAAATGAAAATTTCCATTTGTCAGGAAAGATACTAGTCGTTAGAGATTTGTTAAATAAGTAAGTTATAATAGGGGATAATATAAATGACGATTCCTTTAAAAATTTTGCAGAGATACCATCAGGACCAAGTGATTGATTTTGGTTAGTACACCAAAGTTCATTAAAAACATCCATTATTGAAATATTTATAGAGTTAACACAGAATAAAGAGTTATCTAATTTACTGATATTGGAAATATTATAACTATTTAATGTGTTTGGCTTATATACGTTTGAAAAGTGTGATTTAAAAAAATAATATAATAATATAATGAGATATCCAGTACCTGCGAACAGCATACTCGTTGCGAGTCCTTCAGTCGGCAAAAGAAATACTCACGTTATAAAATAATAGTAAATCGTAATTTGAAATGAAAGTGTAAAGAAAAATAAAATGACTGGAACAATCGTAATATAACTTGAAAAAGTAGATGGAAACAAAACAAAAAGTACACTTGACTACTGATGGGTAAATGACGCCGTAGCGCTGCAGTACACCCATATTTATAGACTAGCGATTCTAGCGCTGTGACAACGGCAGTTCGGGCAGCAACATTTTCAAATTTTGTTCGCGACACTAGCACCGTGACGACGGCGGTTCGGATAGCAACATTTCGAACATTGCTCGAGAGCACAAATACAAATTTTTTTTAAAGCACACCCTGGTGGCAGGACGAAAAACTTCAACTAAGAAATAGACGGGCTGCGCTACTAGCGCTGCGACTGCCGACGGCGGGTCGGGCGGAAAAATTTTAGAATTTCGATTGAAACCACCTCCGAGGGGCTTTTGATGTTGAATTTGTTCCCGTCATGAAGTCATGAAGTCAGGGAAAATTAAAAACTCGATGACCGACTCACGGTGACAATATTCGGGAATTTCGAAGATTGAAGGAGGGTATTCATTTTTTTCGACGCCGTCTTTGGGGTTGACATTGTCCCTCTTATGAGGTCTCTGAAGGAAAATTTAATATATTCAATATAAAAATTCGAAGACCGACTCACGGGGACAAAATTTGGGAATTCGAGGATTGAAGGCGTTTTGACCGCGCAATACAAAAAGTCGGTGCGTAGCGGTAAGGTCCTTGTTGATTAAAGTCATGACCGTCTCAAGAGGACAGTGTCGGGGAATTCGAGGGTTGAAGGAGGGTATTGATTTTTTCTCGACGACGTCTCCGGGCTCGGGTCTCCCGGGGCGCCAGCAGGCGGTTACGACGATGCACATTATCTAGCGACGGAATCACACGTTGAACGTGGACTGCCCGATGTCAACCCCGTCGACGGCGACCATTAAAGACCGATTTAAAACGTTCGATCCCTTTATTCCCAAACCGTGTCCCCGTGAGATTTTCGATATTTTTCTGAAGTCAACTTTGCTAGCTTTCATCCGATGGTTTTCAAACTTTAACACCAGAAAGTTAATTGAAAAAGAAACGTGAATGGACAGAGGTTGTCCTGTTCACCGGAGGTGGCCATTATACTTAGTTACTCGGTCTCGATGGCCATCACACGGGCCACGACGTTCCCTTAATTGAACGCACAAATAATCTTTTCTCGGATTATGGTAATTAGATTGGATTAATATCAACGCGCCGATTCCCAAAGTACAAGCTCCGTTAGTTTAGCCGTAATTCCCGATGTCCGACTGTTGTACCAGCTCAACAGCAATCCAATTATGCACGTGATCGATCCAACCTCATTATTCCCGAGCAATAATTTCAATCCGAGAAAATGTAAAAATCTTGAAAATCCCAGATTGAACGGTGAATACCAAATCTGGGGAACGTATACTAGTCTGGAGAACCAGTCTGGGAAAGTATCTTTTCACAACCGGGGAGAATATCAAGTCAGTGTACGGTTACTTATAAACCGTTCCGCGTCCGACCGTCTGTGACAATATTTAAGTCGGTGACAGGGGAACGAATCGAGTGCTAGGAGAAAAATGTTTTCCCCAACTCGTGACTGACTGATAGTGTCAACGACGATTTATTCGCCGGAGAATCTGACCGTTATAACGTTAAATTTAATTTATTTCCACGCTTGTTTCGGCCTTGACTGTCTAACGCGGTTGTTCATCGGACGGAAAGAATTTCCCTAAGCATTTCCGATTTTCGGTGTTTTCGATATTGGAATTTTGAATTTCTACAAACGGAGTCCTGACATTGAATGGATGTCGATGGCAAGGCCGAAAAAGGAACTACGAAAAAATGATTATTTACAGTTGTATCCCTTGATTCCCAAGATTCTGGCCCGTGAGACGGGTACTGACCACCGCGTAAAACGACAAGTCGGTGCGTTACAGTACGGCTACTGATATCATCAAAGTCGATGACCGACTGTCGGGGAGAAATTCGGGGAAAGCGCAGGTGGAGGGGGGTTATTTATTTTTTTTTGACGCCGTCTCCGGCCTTGACTTTCCCCGGGCTGCCAACGTCGGAAAACATAATTTAAAAAAATAACGATTTGGCACCGGATACACGCGTCCGCGAACGCGTATAACGCCAATTCGGTGAGTAGTAGTACGGCACCTCGCAGACCGTCCGGGGCGATCGACGAGCGGCAAGCGGGACTTTGCGGACGGCCGTGGTTTCGCTGGATTTCGTTCACGGCGGTTGATTTGGCGACGGAACCCGGTGCACGGAGACAGCCCGAGACAACGCCGGAGACGGCGACGCGATAAAACGGAGCAAAACGCTCCACCGAAGAGTTCTCGAACCGTGACCTCGTGAAAATTTCGAACTTTTGCGGAAGTCAACTTTGCGAGCTTTCCACCGACGGCCCGGTGGCTGGTCAAGAACTGGGCAATTTCGTGGCCCAGGGAAATTGGCAACGTCAGTCGATGCGTAATATCCGGGAAACATTCATGTGCCCACCTCCCCTTTTGTGTCACCATCCACCGTGACTGCCATGTGTCCATCATTTTGGTTGTCGCCGTTCTCATTGTTTCCACCCTCTGTAATTCCTGCAGGAGTCTTGCCTTCTCCCTAGCGGCAAGCCATGCCAACTCAAGGTCTAACGGTGGAATGCCCGCAAGAACCTGTAGTGCCGCACCCGTAATCCCTATCAGGGCCCTCCCCTCTAGTGTACCCATTTTCCTCTACACTGTACTTCAACACTGTGTTCAACGCGTGGCTCCAAAAACGCACCCCGTACGCAATCTTTGGTAGGAAGACTCCCCGGTACATAATCATTAGATTAGAGCACCTGATTCCCCAACCCGCTCCCACCCCACCGCGTAGGAGGGAAAACAATGTGTGCTCTGCACTAGTTGATTTTTCCACGTGGATCAGAATGACCTGCCTGGATCCAATCACAGACCCAGATATTTTAAATTATCCTCTCCTCACCGAAAGCGGCTGTGAAGCCGGGTACAAGATCTCCCTTAGTCATCATAGCTTGTGATTTCGCCGCAGAAAACGAAAGGCCCCTGTCCACAGCCCAATCCATCACCGGTATCAGGGCCTGCTCTGCCCGTTGTATTAATGTTATCCTTGTTTCGCCACCCAATGTTATGGAAATGTCATCGGCATACGCCTGTATGGAGACGTAAACCGTTGACCCGGGGCGCCTCCATAGTCAAGATCCATAGTACCGGGCCTAGTATGGACCGCTGTGGGCAACCCTTCGTGACCCTTACTGTCTTTGTGACCCCTCCAATGGCCATGGTGGACGTACGACCATATAGGTATTCCGCTATCCATTTCTGCATGTGTTGTGTTGCCCCGAGTTCTTGTAAATCTGATTGCAGGGCTGGCCAGGCCAAATTGTCAAAGGCCCCTGTTATGTCTAAAAGCACAGTGATAACATATTTCTCTGGTCTCAAGGCACTCCACGTCAATAAGTTTTCCACTGCATGTGTAGACTTGCCCTTGGTGAAGCCGTACTGTTTTCCCGATAGGTTCAGCCCTTTCTGCTCCTGGAGTCTTATATTTATTGCTTTTTCCACAATCTTGCCCATTACTGGCAACAGGCTCACCGGCCCATAAGATTTCGGCCACCGATATAATTTACCCCACGGCTGCTCACCTTCAGTGGTGCAGAAAGCTCTCCACGACTCTAGTTTGTTTTTTTCTGAGGAGCGAGGTGTAACGTCTGACGGTTCCCGTTCACTGACATCCAGGGACAGGAGTTCCAAATTTGAGCGAGAGCCCTTCACCCGAAGGCCGCGTATATGAGGCAGAGCTCGTCCCACGTGCCTGAAGGGATCCGCATGCGTCAGCGGACGGGCCGTCAGAATGGACGACGCATCGGCGGTGGCCGTTTTCCGCCTACCTCGCAATCCTAACCGGCTACGGTGCACCGGCGCTTACTAACGAAATCAACGGCCCGCTCGAATCTGACTCCAACGGATTGGAATCAGATTGACCGGGTGGGAAGCATCCCTGGCTCGAATACTCCCCTGGGATAACCCGGTCCCGATCTACCGTTCATCCATGTCAACAGTCGGACATATTTCGACGGCCGCCTCTGCCTACCGATTTGAGGGACTCCCTACAGACAAGCCGTCAGCCGCAAGTCCGATCCATCTCCGCTATGCCCCCATCGATTTCACGAGCCCAACTGATGCTGAGACGCTCGGCTGTAGCACGGACATACTACATTCGCTGAAGTCAAGAACTGGACGAACGAAAACGGAAGACAAGTATTAAGCTGCTTCCTGGATATTAGCGGAGAATTTGATAACGTAAGATGGCCAGCACTGGCATCCGACATGCGCACTCTGGGATGCGACCAGAAACTGATAGCTCTGGCCATCGACTACCTTCGAGATTGGACAGCCACATACGGTATAGGTAGCAAGAGTCTCACAATCAGACTAACCAGAGGTTGTCTGCAAGGAAGCAAGTTCGGACCCAGGCTCTGGAATATATGTATGGACCCACTCCTAAAGAGGGAAATGCCTGACAATGTCACCGTAGTGGCATACGCAGATGACATCGCCATCCTTACGGCAGGCAACACCCGCAATGAAGTCATACGCAAAACAGAAAGGGAACTGCAGATAGCGTCAACGTGGCCATACGAACGCGGCCTAACCTTCTCCAGGGAGAAGTCCGTGATGGTTCCGCTGAAGGGTGGCGTAAAAAAGGCTGAATGGGTGAGTACGGCATAAAATCGGTACCAACTACCAAGTACCTAGGTCCACATCTGGAAGCTGGATTCAAATTCGAAAGCCACGCAGAGCAGTTACTGAGCTCCAGCACAGATATGTTTTCGAGGCTAAAAGGAATCGGGAAGTCAAAGTGGGGGGCCTCATCGGCGCTAGCCATTATGCTTTACAAGGTCGTATACTTTCCAACGATTACCTATGGCTCCAACACATGGTATCCCACCATCAGCGCCAGACAAAAGACGAAGTTAGAAAGTGCCCAACGGCAAACCCTGCTGGCTGTGACCGGGGCTTACAGCACCACTTCAACTAGGGCCCTACAGGTCATTGCAGGTGTTCCACCAATACATCTACAGATCGAGATGAAGATGGACATTAAAAATGGCATGACCCACCACGAAGCCGAAGATAAATGTCTGCGGGAGTGGCAGAGACTATGGACGGGATCCACCTAGTTAGTCGTGAGTTGCATCCGTGGATCATCCTTGTCAGGGTCTATCCGTTCCGTCCTTATCCTGGTGCCTACGACCGGAGTTGAAAAATTCCGGAAATTCGATCCGCTCCCGACCTCAAATGGTTAAGTCCACGGCCGGGCTTGACCACCCGTGAACTGACTAAGATCCCCTGGTGATTGCCCCAGTTAAGGGTTGTCGCCTGTACTCCCGTTCGCGACGGCCCTCAGACATTGATGCCAGACAAAGGACACTGCAGCTGAATGGTGGTCATTCGCGGGTTGCTCCCAACCCGAGGTATAGGCACGCCACTCGAGAGCGCACGACTTGGCGCCACTTAACAGCTCACGTGACGCCTGGGGCCTGTCCAACTGGTTTAACGGACCCGATTTTGAAAACCTCTGAGCGGCCGACCCGTAGGACGGCCGAACACCGTCACCACGACAAGGTGGGTTTTCAGCGACCCCGAGTAGATATAGGGACATGAGTCGAGATTTTGGTTTGGCTTTTGCCATGAGCGCATACCTTACCTTAGCCTATTACTATTCAAGGGATGCCCTGATTTACAATCGGGTTTTACTCCAGGTGCACGTCTTTAAGCGAAACACGGGCGCCGGTCTTTGACCGTACCCGTTTTAAGAGAAAAATTTCGGTATTTCTCTCCCACTGGGTCGGTGGTTTTTTACTATCCACCGATTACTTATGCCATAGCCACCACGTTTCAGCTGAGGTAGGCTCCTCAACCGTAGAGGGGCATCGTTTCCGATGGGGCTCCACTCTCCCGTTTTACTAACTAGGTTTTTGGTTGATGTTAGATGGATCAACCCGAGATTATTAGTCTCTACTGCTATTTTGGTTCCGAAAAACCGGCTAGCGGTGGGCCTGTTACAAGGATTTTGGATTGCTCAAGGGTCCTTCCGACCCAACAGGGTGCCTATTACCCCCGGGTAGTTTCGGTTTCCCTGTGTACTACCAAACCCTCTAACCCTTGTTAATCGCCTCTTACGATTGACCAGGAATGCCGGTGAAGTATTATATTCCCCTTCACCTGGGTGACGGACTTCGGTGCCATATGTTTCCATGTGGTGCTAAGTCCTATGTTCTGTCCATCCTGCTTGTCAGAGAGTCCTTTGCGAATTTTCGGAAGGCTTCAAAACGTGCTCGTGTCTTAACTATTTCCTTTACTTCGCAATTCCAAATAAATCCGTCTGTTGCAAAAATACACCATAGCGAGTCGGCCCAGTCATGTGTATAAAAACTATATATTTGGTGGGGTTGCTATCCGCCTAGCACAAAGGTCAACACAAGGCTGTACGACGAGCAATTATAATATACGACAACGACAGTGTATAGGCGATGCCCGAGATTGTTGCGTATGCTACTAATTCGTGGTCGCTGCGTAACAATTTCGCCATCTAACAGCCGTGCATATTCCGCCTTGTTGTGTGGTTTTCACTATACCGTGCATATTCCGCCTTTTTCGTGTGGTTTTCCGCTGTTTCTCATAATTACGTCGGTTAGTGCGCGCGGTTTCGCCGTCCTAAATCCGACAGTTAAGTCTGTGTGTTTTCGCCGTCTTAAGTATCGCACCTACAACATCTTCATCATTGTCCTCATCACGCGGGTCATTCCATTGTCACCAGCTCAAGTTTCCAGGTACCGGTCATATCATATTATGTGCATCATCACGGTGTCGTGAGTTTTTGTATATGTTTATTTTTTTTGTATAATTATTTAAATTTATGTAAAATATTAAGCTCGTGATAGCAACATATTGGTTGATTATTTTTATCTGCCTAATCCCCTTATTCAATACGGAACCCGCACAGCGTGTCCAATCTCCCGATTATTACTAAAGGTACTGGTACGTGTTACATGGTCCTTCGAACCGGATGAATTAAGGGTATTAGAGCCAGTGATCAATTTGGGTTTGAGTATATGAAAATATTAGTTTTTTTTTGAAATTGCAATTTTGAATTATTTGTATTAGTATATTTTTATTGTTAATCGCATTGTGGGTAATTACGGCCAAATGTGATTATGCGATATCTGCTATCTGCACGAACAGAACAAAGTTCACATAATTGGTCATACAACCACAATTCCTGAACGTCGTTAAAATATCTTTATGCGCCAATAATATTTTAACTATATTATATAACATATATCAACCGCAGATAAAATATAGTCTTGTTTTGATAAAATTAAATTGGTCTATTTGGAAGGTCGCTTTTGTTACCTGCTAATTAGAAGGGTCATATCGTGTATGCCACCGAATGAATTTGTCCGTAATTAATCTTACTACTAATTGATATCTGCACTAATCGATTAATAATCATACATATTATTGTATTGTAACTGAACCGCTTCTGGTCTTTTACGATTATACCCATTGCGTTGGATAATATACCTACAATGCCGCCGTCTGCGAGTGATATCGAGCGTGCTGAACGCTCTCTAAAGCGTAGCATTGTAAAAAGAGATTGCACTGTTGAACAGTTTAGAACACTCATGCAATTAAGTGACAATATTGAATCTGATACCGATCAAAAGACGCTTTTTCGGGTCCGACTTCGTGACCTCGACAGCCTATTAACCAATTTCCATGCCGATCAGGACGATATTCTTGATCAATTAATTATCCTATCGCGCGAGGAACAATTTGTCAAGTCACATGCGCCTGTTGAAGCACTTATATTGGACAGTTTTTATAGGGTGCAAGCTGTTGCTGCTGACCATCACTTAGATGCTGATCGAAGTGTTCAAAATATTTCGTCACGCAGCACACGTAGCAATGTTCAATTACCGAAAATTCTATTGAAACAATTCAATGGTGATCTTCAGCAATGGTGTTCTTACCGAGACACGTTTACGTCTTTAGTTCATAACAACGATGAATTATCCGACATAGAAAGATTTCATTATCTATTATCATCTTTATCAAGTCAAGCATTACCTGTTGTACGTTCGATACCCTTCACGGAGGTCAATTATATTGTCGCGTGGGAGGCATTGCATACTCGTTTTGACAACAAACGATTATTAGTTAATTATCATCTAGACGCTATGTTTGCCTTTTGTCCGCTCGCCAGTGAGTCAGTATCAGGTTTAAAACGGTTCTTAGACACTTTCCAACAGAACATTTCTGCTATAAAGGCACTAGGCGTTGACGATTTGGCTAGTTTCCTATTATTTTACATAGCATCTCGGTGTCTAGACGCGCAGTCAAAACGTTTGTTTGAAGCGGAGCAACATACTAATGAGACTCCGACTATTGATATTCTATTAAAGTTTGTCCACAATCGATGCAAAATATTACAAAATTCTACATCGACACTTTTACCCAAACAAACGGAATCGAGTAAAAAATTACATCATAAGTCTTCATTGTTCACTTCCAACATTCCTGACCAAGGACAACAAACATCTTGTACCATGTGTAAAGATTCTCATTTCTTATTTCAATCATCTAAATTTAGTTCTCTACCAGTCCAACAGCGATTCAAAGTAGCACAGTCACGTCGTCTCTGCATGAACTGTTTGAGTGCTCATCACAAAACATCCACATGTCAATCAAAACACACGTGCCGCCATTGTGCTCAAAAGCATCATACACTACTTCATCTCGATAAGTCATTAGTAAAAACCAAATCAATTGAATCGAGTCATGAAAGTAGTGTCCCAGTGTGCTGAAAACACTTCGCCCGGGAACTCATCGAATGCGGATGTCACCTTTTCAGGTACAACGTATACCTCCAGTACCGTTGTTCTTGGCACAGCAATTGTTCATATACGTAATAGCTTGGGTATGTGGTCACCTATTCGTGTATTAATCGATTCGGGGTTACAAATATCGGTCATTACGAACGCATGTGTCACCAGATTAGGCTTACCACGTCGACAATGTAAACATACAATTGTGGGATTGTCACATACACCCGTAAGTGAAACAAAGGGTATGACTGCTTGTATCATAAAACCGGAGCTTTCCAATACTCCCCTCATCTCGTGTGAACCCGTAATAATGTCAAAAATTACCGAGGCTATGCCCACCGTAAAATTAGACTCGTCTATTCGATTGATTTATAATGATATCCGTTTCGCTGATCCACAGTTTGATGTACCAGGTCCCATCGACTTTTTATTAGTTGCTGATATAAACAATATGATCCTAAAGGACTGTGGCGGAGTTATTCATACGGACGGCATACCGTCAGTGTATTTAACACTGATAGGATGGATTTTATCAGGTATGTCCGTGTACAACGATACATCACAACTTACATCACTTATGTTAACGACTGAACCGTCAATTGACCAATTGATGCAAAGTTTTTGGAGTATTGAAGAACCGTCTCCCCCTGCTGTACCGTTTACCGACGACGATATTTGAGAAGAAATATTCTCGCATACGACGACACGTGAAGAAAATGGTCAGTATGTCGTTTCTTTTCCATTTCGGGTAAACCCCGCGGAATTGGGAGATTCGTATCACATGGCTCTATCGCGTTTTTACAATTTGGAACGAAAACTTCAACGTGATGCTAACCTATACGACGAATATCGGAAGTTTATGGTTGAATATGAAGAGTTGGGGCATATGAAACCCGCTAAAAGTAAAGGTACGTACTTCATACCTCATCATGCTGTGGTGAAGTATACCGGTGACCAATTAGAGTTAAGAGTGGTTTTCGACAAGTCCGCGCATTCTACTTCCCAATTGTCACTCAATGCCTTACTATACACCGGACCCAAATTGCAGACGGATATTGCTGAATTATTACTTCACAGTCGCCTATACCCGTATATGCACGGAAAAAAATATTAACTAAAAAGTTTTAGGTAGAAATATTATAGTTGTATCAACTATATTTTAGTTGAATATACTACATTTTTACCAAATAACTTAGCGAAATCAACCAACTATAATTAGTTGAAATATTTTGGTTGATTTAACTGTAAAATATAGTCGAAATGATATGACTAAATAAAAATAGTTAATACAACCATAATAATATAGTAGGTATGGGTTTTCCCACTGCGCTGTGCCATCGTGTTGTGAATTTGATTCCTTTGTCTTATCATCATTCGAAAATCGAAACCGAAACGTGTCTAGTCTTAGTGCGTACATTGTACATACTTCATATTCTTATGTAATGCGTGTTTAATTAACTTGTTATAAAACATTGTTATAAGTTAACTGTGATTCTGTGAATTTATTGATTGTGTATTCCTATTTCGTCGTGTCACGTGTTGGTACAGCAAGCGGAATCAAATGTAAGTACCTACCTACATTTATTTCATATTTATATATTATATTACATTCCACATAATGAATATTATAAACATACACTTATATAAGCGTGAGTCGTAAGTCGTAATCACTATTTTTAATTACGTGCTATTTTTTACTATGTTATTCAGTCAACAAAAAATCTATAGATGGATGACTTTACAGACACTTTGTTGAGAGAATGGGGGCTCGGAATGTGGAATTGATGATAATACAATAAATATTTTCAAAGGTAATATAAAGCTAGTTGAATCATAAGGACATGGTGATTCATACATAAATTATATAACTAATGCTAGTGTGTTGCACCGTTATATTATAAGTATAGGGAAACCCCTCTATGATGGAATTGCTGGGGACCAACCAGAGTTTTTTGGCATTAGAGAGGTAAATTTCACATATTTTTGAATCGGAACTTAATATTTTCCGTCATAAGGAGGATTCCGTCTCATGGAGGGTCCATTATAGAGAGGTTTTACTGTACTTACACATTGAATATTGCACTTATAGTTATACTTCAATTCTAATCATCAATAATTAAATATTTATACTAGTTATATAGGTACTATTGAATTCTGGTTAGGTAAACTAAAATATCTTAAATACACTAACAAATAAAAAAACATGCAAACATTTTTTGTAGTAAGCTCTGTTTTGTTGGGACCTCAAAATTACATAAAAATCTATGCATGCAGGTAAACCCTACCCTTACTCTGGCCCTGATTATACTTTAAATCTTTCATTTTGTTGGTTTACAAAATTTACCAAGTGCATACAATTTTTTAAATCGTATAATTCTTACCAAATTAACCTATTGTTTATTTGCTCATTAGGAAGTTTTTCAAGAAAATAATGTACAGCCACTTATTTTACCACCAGTAGACACAAATGGTAGGAATTTAAACTATATTATGTACCAACATTAAAAAATAGGTGGATTATATTATTTCTATATGATTTAATTTTTGTATATACGTCTAGAATCTGATAAATGCAAAAATATTCAGATTTCTGATATTGAAGTTTTTGAATTTGAAGATATTCCTACACCTGACAATCTTTATACTCAAGATGTATTTCAAGATGAAACATTATATAGACCTGGAACTTCTGCTATAATAGGTTAATATGTTTCACTAATATCCCACCACTCTGTTTTATTTTGTTTATTGTATACGTTTTCAAGAATATTTTGTAATTTATTTTTTAGATAATGATATAACATCTGAGGTAAATGAGGAATTGAGATGTAAAAGTAGCTATTATACTGTAGAGGTATTTTTTTTCATTACTCAATATAGTATTATATATCATATTTTTTTTAAAAGAATCAATTTATAAAAGTAGGTATAGTTCTAACATACAACTCTGTTTTTGTATGTACATTTTAGGAATCAGCATCAAAAGACTATATCATAAAAATACTTAATAATTATTCTGACGGTAATTTAGTTATTAAGTATTATGAATCAGTTGGCTCTTTAAACCAGTCAATGAGGAACACATTAGCCTCAGTTATCATAAAGCATGAAATTCAACACAACACAAAAATTGACAAAATTAAATTTTTATTTTTATCAAACGGTATACCTAAGTTAATTTTGGAATAATAAATCTAATTTACTTAATGTATTAATTTTTTACGTAATAACTAAAATTTAAAAACTAATTAAATAATGTTATGTAAGGTATTCACAATTTGTTTTCTAATGAAACTAAGGAAACATATTTCACACCTTATTATAAAGAAGGTCATAATGTAACACCTATGAGAGGAAAACTGTACGATAAATATTGTAATTTAAAAAAAGAAATCAAGAAAACTAATGTCAATGATCAATCAATTGATATACCCACAAACTCGATCAGTGATGATAATAGCATAAACTTAAAAGATGCGGGTATTAACTTTTTTTTAAAACTTTTTTACAATACATTAAGATATTTTTACTTAAATAAGTTAATTTATCATATTATGTATCTATTTTAATAGATTATGAAGATAAATTATTATGGCTTAAAAATAATACAGAACCCATCCAAACACTTCAAAAATTCTGGATAGAAACTATGGAATACCGGCAAAAAAAAAAGGAAAATTTGATAGAACTCTATCCTGGTCTTCAAAGACCTACAGGATATATTTTGGTACTTTTTTAGTTTGAATTATTTATAAAGAGTTAAACACAATACAATTATACTTCAGATTAATGACTAGTATTGTAATATAAAAAAAAATATTACGAATATAAAATAATATATTACAAAATGTGTTTTTACTTTTAATAATATATTTTGTCAATAATCACTATAATATCTGTTTTAGATTGAACTTGATTTCCAGGATTTATATCCAAACAAGGAATTTTTACTACTGAATAAAATTGATGTTTTTAAAGTTCAACTCATAAAATACATAGACAAATTTAATTTTCAATTTGGAGTTCAACATTTCAGTACTGTTAGAGAATTAAAGAATCCTTCAAAGCCTGGTAAATATTATAATCAATGATTATTTTTGTTAAAGTGTCCTTAATTTCTTTATTTATTTTTTCTGTATAGGTAACGACTATGTGTCAATTTTAAAATTACTTCCTCTATTGTTTCAACCAATAACTGTAAGACTAAACAATAAAAGAAAAAAAGATTGCATGCCATCGGTTTGGAGACCATCAAAAGTGGAGCAAGCTGCTGCTTTTGTAACATTTATATCTGTAAGTTTTATTTATGAAAGTAAACTCAAAAAAAATGAAAAAAAAAATATGTTAACATGAAACAATATATTACAGGATGTCGGTGAATTGAAAACATTACACAACTCAAAAATAGAAAAAGCTCTACAATTTGGGTTGACATTGCAACCGTATGCAGTAATTGTTGGTTCAACCGACATATTTACAGTTGTTAATAATATTTATTTTAAATTGGAAACACCACTGAAAGGCCTTGACGTATGTTTCAAAACATTTTTTTCATTAAATGTACACTATCCTGCAGAAAGTGAGCAGGTATGGTTTTTCATACAGAAATATTTTTATGACATAAATCTTAAATCGGATAAAAACATATTATCAGTACAAACTCTAATAAATGATTTGAGTAATATATAATTATATTTTGGTATAGTTAAACTTTGTTTTGCTGAACATTATTTATATTATTATTATTATAAGCATTTTGTTAAGTAAGATTGCCGATTGGTATATAAAATAAAATAAAATTTTACATTTATATGTAGTTAATAAGTTATCTATAACTTACCAATTATAGTAATAAGATAAAATTACCTATAATTATAATTTTTTTTTTTTTCTAAAAATATGTTCTTTTTATGTACTTAAGTAATTATAAAATAATGCCTTATTGTTTTATGTGCAAAAGTATATTTAAAATAAATTCTCATTTAATAAGTCATTTAAATATCTTCCACAATGTTAAATCTATATGTGAATTTAAATGTTTGGAAACTGGATGTTATAGAGTTTTATCTACTTTTCATTCATTCAAAAATCATATAGCCCAGCATAAAGATGTATTGGTTGAAAATAATAAACCTGATAATTTTCCTGTCTCCACATCTAAACAAGAACATGCAGATTTAAATATTGTCAATTCGCCCATTTTGAATGAAATTATTTCTTCGAATTCTAACAATAGTTCAGACCAAATATCCGTTGATAATTTTATTGATACATTGCGTTGTAGTTCAGTGACTTTAGCATCTAAGTGGTATAGTAATAGTATAATACCAAGAAAAATAATTCAAGTATTATTTAATGATATCAGACAGTTTAATAATTCATTTTTATCCCTCTTAAAAGATAAAATGCTTGAAGTTAAATATGATTTAAACCATACTAAAGATATCCATCTTATGTTTGATCAACTCTCAAATCCTTTTTCTTCTATAAGTTCTGAGCATCTTCGTTTCAAAACCTTTGATGAAATTGGAATTCTTATTCGACCAAGATTAGTAGATATCGGATGTAGACTAAATGATAGAATGAAGGCTGGACGTGTTATATTTGAACCAAAAGTTTTTCAAATGTCTTTTGTTCCTCTTAGGTATGTGCTTAAGACCATGCTACAAGATTGCAATTTATTTGAAGTAATTATAAAATTTATGAATCATTTAGAATCTAATTCAAATAAATGTGTTAGTAACTTTGTACAGTGTAAACTGTGGAAAAGCAAACTTGAAAAAAATTCACAAAAGATACTATTGCCTTTATTTTTATATTTTGATGATTTTGAAATAAACAATGCTCTAGGCTCTCATGCAGGTAACAATAAGTTAGGTGCTGTATATGCGTCATTACCATGTTTGCCACCTGAATATTCTTCTTCTTTAGAAAATATATTTTTGGCATGTTTATTTAAATCAGTGGATAGACAAGAGTTTGGAAACCGTGCTATTTTTTCAGAACTTATAACAGAATTGAATTTTTTAGAAGTTACTGGAATAGAAATATTATATGATGGTGAAGTAAAAAGAGTTTTTTTTTCATTGGGTTTAATTTTAGGGGATAATTTAGGATTGCATAGTATACTAGGCTTTTCAGAAAGTTTTATGGCAAACTTTTCTTGTCGTTTTTGCAAGTCAAATAAATCTGATTGCAATCATCAATTAGTACAGATTGATGAGAACCTAAGAAATGAAGTTAATTATTCTACAGATATTGCGATTAATAACCTTTCACTCACTGGAATTAAAGAGTTGTGTGTTTTTCATGAAATACAGTCATTTCATGTGACAAACAATTATGCAGTTGACATAATGCACGATATTTTGGAGGGTGTTTGCAAGTATGATATTGGTATGATGTTAAAAGTAATGGTATACAATTTAAACTACTTTACAATTGATACTCTAAATAATAGAATAGAGTCATTCAATTATGGGCCCATTGACATTCGAAACAGACCTCCTCTAATATCCATTGATTCATTGAAACATGGTTCAATTAAAATGTCCGCTAGTGAAACATTATGTTTCACAAAATATCTAACACTAATTATAGGTGAATTAGTTCCATTAAATTCTGAATTTTGGAGTTTATATATTATTTTAAAACAAATTATGGATATTATATTTGATAAATGTCTTAAATTTGAAGATATTCAACTTTGTAAACTCTTAATATCTGAACACCATGCATTATATATTAGATTATTTAACACTAATTTAAAACCCAAATTCCATCACATGACACATTATCCTTTAATAATGGAACAGTGTGGACCTTTATCATTGATTTGGTCCATGCGTTTTGAGTCAAAGCATAAACAATTTAAAGATACAGCTAAATCTATAACTTCCCGAAAAAATTCACCGTATACCTTAGCGTTAAAGCATCAACTTAATATGTCGTATAGAGTTTTGTCGTCAGTTAATACAATAAATATTAAGTTAGGACGTCGTACATTACTTTCAGCAAATACGCGGCTCAAATACAAAAATGTTAAATTTATATGTTCACCTTTTAATATTTTAGATGATAAGGTACAATTTTTTTCATGGATTGATTTTAAAGGTACCATTTACAATTGTAATAATATGTCAGTTTTGATTAATTTTAGTGATGACCCAAATATTTTACCTCTGTTTGGTTTAATTTTATCTGTCTTTATAATAACTAATAACAATGTTCCTTTTTTAGTTTGTAGTATTTATAATAATAATTATTTTGATGAACATTTACAAGCGTATAATGTACAACTTACTAATGATTTAATATGTTGCTCAGTTGAAAATTTGGATTGTGTACAACCCACAATTCATTGTGTTATGTCTAATGGGTTATGTTTTATACCAAAATAAATAGTTTTTATATAATGTTATATTATATTCTTTTATACATTAATTATTATACCTAAAATATATATATTATTATTCATTCAATAAATTACATTTTTTGACTTCATCAGTTGTGTTATTCTTATATTATATTTATATGCTTACCTAAATTTACCATTCCTATCAGTAGTAGGTATACTCAGGATTCCCCAATAGGGGGGAATATATTATAATATTATTATGTTTGTCGTCTAATCTTAGTTTTTAATATTGAATAGTTTATATTATATTTTTTTATATTACTATTTTTCATAGTAAATAGGGAGAATTGAATCCCTTAGTCCCCCCACCCTGGGTACAACACTTGGTCCAAATATAGTTTATATATATATATATGTAATTAGTAGTCTTAACTAAAAATATTTAGTTGGAAATACTACAATATACATTTTGTAAAATAGTTAATCCAACTGAAATGTTAAGTAGGAAATACTATAATATACATTTTGTAAAATAGTTGTTTCAACTAAAATATTTAGTAACACTAATTATTTTTTTTAGTTACATATACTATAAATTCAATCAAAGTGTTTGGTTGGTTTAACTATAAAATATAGTTACAATTTTAGTTAGAATTAAATTTAGTTGAATTGACTATTAATATTTTAACCATAATCATATAGTATTTGCAACTAACAATATAGCTATGCCATATGGAACTATATTTTACAGCTGAAGTACATATAATTGCAGTTGAACTAACTAATTTTTTTTTTCCGTGTGTTCACAGCTGATATATGTAAAATGTATCGGCAGATTTTGATTTCACAGCGCGCTCGTCAATACCAACATATATTATGGCGTGATTCACCATCGAAGTCGCTATGTGAATATGAATTGTGTACCGTGACATACGGTGTGTCAGTATCGCCATACCAGGCTATTCGCGTGTTACATCAACTTGAGGTAGACAATGGACAACAATATATCCCGCCGCAAAAAATATATTGTCTACTAAAACCTATGTCGATGATGTTATCATTGGCGCCGAGTCTATTTCAGAATTAGTCTTCGCCCAAACGCAACTTAAAAAATTATTAGCTCACGGTTGATTTGTGTTAAAAAAGTGGGCAAGTAATTGTGCGGAAGTTCTACTATCCATTCCAGTTGAGGATCGAACAATCACATTGTCATTCGATCCCAAAGAGGAGTCATCAATACAAATATTAGGTCTTCATTGGGAACCCACGTCGGATGTATTTAGCTACCATACTACTGCATCAACAAATACGTACACTAAACGGTCAATATTGTCAACTATAGCAAAACTGTACGACCCGGTCGGTGCGCTCGCACCCATAACATTCTGGGCCAAGTGCTTTATGCAACAGTTATGGCAGCTTGGGTTACAGTGGGATGACCCATTACCGTGCGACCTCGTTGATAGTTGGCGAATGTTCTCAGACGAACTCCCGTTGCTAGAAAAAATAAAAATACCACGCTATCTTCCAATAAGTGACCTTTCTTCCGTCCAATTACTCGGGTTTTCAGATGCGTCAGAAAAAGGGTACTCGGCTGTAATTTATTTACGCATTGTCCATAATGATAATCGTATTTCTGTTCATTTTCTGACGGCCAAATCAAAGGTTGCCCCCGTGAAAACGGGTAAATGTGACAGTGCGATAAGTATTCCATGACTGGAGTTATGCGGGGCACTTTTACTAGCTCAAACGATGCATCGCGTCAGTCCCATATTTATGCACAATTACCAAATGTAACAAAACACGCATGGACAGATTCTACCTTGGTCCTGTCGTGGTTGACTACTACGCCAACCACATTCAAAATGTTTGTGTCTAATCGATTAGCAAAAATCGCTGTTGCCATTGGCACTATGTTTCATAGAGGGGAAAATCCAGCGGATTGCGTTTCGCGTGGACTACTTCCGTCACAAGCAGTTTCGATGTCGTTATATTGGAACGGTCCAATATTTCTACAATCAGGTGAAAACACGTGGCCAATCAATACCTACGTAAAGTTGTCACTGTCATCATTGCCTGAAGTAAAAAATATAGATGCAGAAATATCGGTGTTAACAACCTTATCTACACTCACAGACGATCAACTCATCTACAATCTTGGACGATTCCTTGCAGGTTCCTCACGGTTGGCACATTGGGCAGCTCCTAGTCCCCATCCCAAATTTCCACCTGGAGCCTGTAAATAAGAAACATTTGCAGATTAATAAAAACATGGAAACCATATTTTAAAACTCACTTCCATATCGACTGCCTGAAGGACTGGTCCAACCACCTTTTCCTCCCAACGGTATCGATGATTCTGTTCAGGCGCACCAGTTTGATACCCTTTTTTGCCTTTGCACTTATTATCTTGCTGATTTTTTGCACATTCTCCCTCACGGGGTGTATTATCAACTCCCGGTGCACATTTGCTATGTGCCGCGGGAGTTGATCATAAGTTAGGAAGTTACACAATGGGCAGTGTCGGAAAGGCTGAAAAATATTTATTCAAAATTTATACCCAACGAACTTCAATCTAAAAATAATCATGGTTTACCTTCTGGCCACCGATGCCTAGATCCAGGCACTGCTGGACCGACAACCATCGATAGTCGTCGGTTGTCGCCGGTTGCTCATCAGCGAACATCTGGACAACATGATACGAAGATAAATTAAATAAATATTTATAAAAAGGGAACAGTTGAATTTTTTTATACTCACATCATCATCGGACTCTATTGCATAATCATCCCCTTTCGGCTGATGGGTAAATATAAAAACGAAATAAGTAAATCAAAATGAAAAATGAAAAAAAAAGACTAGAGAAATACTCACAACTACACCATCGGACTGTTTGTAATCATCACCGTCCATCTAAAAAGTCAAAATAAAAACGAAATAAGTAAATCAAAATGAAAAAAAAGACTAGAGAAATACTCACAACTACACCATCGGACTGTTTGTAATCACCACCGTCCATCTAAAAAGTCAAAATAAAAACGAAATAAGTAAATCAAAATAAAAAAAAAATGTTAGAGAAGCACTCACAACTACACCGTCCGATAGTTGACAATCATCAACGTCCATCTAAAAGGTCAATATAAAACCAAATGAGTAAATCAAAATGAAAAAAATTGCTAGAGGAGTACTCACATCACCTTCCTCGCTTGTTGAGTCAAAAATATTAGCACCTCTCCTAAGTTCTGAAATACAAAAATTATAAATTTATAAAAATGGCCTATGAACTATACTCTTTTTAAAATGATCAAAACATACCGTAGTGACAACCCGTGACTTGCAATACTGAAATTAAAAAAAATAATGAACAAAAGTCAAAATTAAGATATGATTACTTACCATTGTTATTATCCTCGACTTCAAACATCCTCAAACATCAAGGATAATAAGTATTATAATATTATAAATATCAAATATGGCAGAGCAATTAACTGTAAATATGTTAATATAATGTAGTATACATTTTAAATAACAAAAAAAAAAAAAACAAAACATTTTATTTAAAGTTTTTTTTCCGCTATTTCGATTTTATTCTATCATCATACTCCCGAAATTTGTTATTGAAACATAGGGAAAATAACACAACTTACAAATAAAATTTGAATTAGGTAAATCAGCAAAGCATTATCGGAGATTGTGGACGGTTTAATTTGAAATTAGAACGGTTTGTTGGCATGTTCGGCGTCGTCCTGTTTTTAGGCTCAGCTGAAACAACTGACTGCCCGACTGCACTGTAAATATTATTTCTACTTAATTGTAGTACCCGAAATTCAATAATTGTGTGTTATGAGTATTAAATCATATATGTTATATTAAGTACCTATACATAGTATTAGCTTCTAATGATTGGAATTGTCATTAACGTAGACGTAGATCTGGTAAGATGATGCTGGGCCAGCGCAATGCCAACGATTTATGGCGTGTCCGTTGAAATTGTTGGCGACTTTTTCGCACTTATAAATGGATAAAGGATGAACATGTTAGCCCATGGCTTCAATATGGAATACAAGGTTATTGCAATAATAACCCCAATATATCATTTTATCACGTTAAGGAATTAAAATGGCTACGATATATACTAACTATATATGAACTGTATACCTCACCCTGCCGATTTATTTTGTTTGATAACAATATTAGCTAAGTACAATATCTTGTATATTTAAGTTATCTGTTAGCCCAAGTTTCGATGTCGTTAAACAAATTAATTAAATGAAAACTTGAGTGTTAACACTATAACCATTAAAATGAGACAGAAAAATAAAATCATCATCAGGCACATCAAACGCTTATTGTGTACAAATAATAACTGGGGTTAGGTTAGGTTAGGTTTAGTTAGGTTAGGTCAATAACTCGGGTTTTACGATTAATAGCTCGTTCATATCTTGTAATTTGCTGTAATGTGGGTCATTCAATTTCTTTCTTGACCAACGATATATCGACGAAATAACCTTGTACAAGGTTAAATAATATATCAATCGAAGTGTAATTTTCAGCTCTAAGCCATGAAATAATTATAAAGATCATTACTATGTACACCGCCAACAAATGTATTGCTATACAAAAGAACGTTAGAAATGCGGCAGACGGCGGTCTTATAGGCCATAAGAATTCCTCACGGGTTACTATAGCCACAGACTATATGAAAACAGATAGCTCACTCGGCCGAAAACAATGGGAAAGAAAATAAGATCCTCTGATTGGGTGCGACCAAATCAGTGTAGCTACATGCGTTTAAATAAATTATTGTTCAGATGTTATACAATATTATTGTATATTTGTATGTACCGATTGTAATTAGTAAGACGTAAGTTAATGACATGTGAAACTGTGAAAGACGATAGTTAAAAGTTTTTATTATTTATTAGTTTATTTGTTAACACAAGCTTTTAACACAGATAGTCAGATAGTCTGTATTTTTAACTTTACTTTATAAATTTAAATTTACATTAAAACTTTTTTTAGTCTTTTAGTATTAACCACAGACCATATTATTTTATAATATAGTTAATATTTAAAGTTACCTGCAATACATTTGTGAGTACTGTAGACTGTAAACATGATGATGATATCATACTTTACATAAAAAAAATATTTATTTCAATATTTAGACATTTTCCATGCTTAAGGAAAACAAAGGTAAGTACATATTAAAACATAAAAATGATATATATACTAATTTGGTAATATATAAGTAAATCTATAATATGCAGGGCTCGTAACTTCATGCACTAAAAAATGCATAAATAAGCATGCATTCATTCACTAAAAATTGTCAAAATATGCATTAAAATATGCACTTAAAAGTTCGAAAATATGCATTTATATGCCTTCTCATTTTTAAATTATGAACTCAAAATATGCATTATGTAAAAAAACATGACCAAATTTTAAAATAATAAGAATAAATCCATACATTTTAAAGTATTTTATTCCTTTTATTTTTATATATTTAACAGTCAAAATTAATAAAATAAAAAATAAAATTAATACTTGTGAAGTTCAAATAGCTTTGAAATCTTTATAAATTTTAATTAGGTAGTCATTTTTGTCTAATTTGTGTACACCCTTATTCAGCACCAACAATGAAAACATTTGGAATTAAATATTAGGTTTTTCATTTTGAGATAATTTAGTAATATATATTTTATAAGTGTATTTTTTATGTTTTCCAACTTAAGAGAGCACACTAGTAGACAAAATATGGCATAAAACCATGGTTTCGTAATTCAAGTAATACGGCTTATTGAAGTAGTTTACAGTAAAAATACCTATTATAAAAATTGTAGAGTAGAACTTTTTTTACAATCGTAAGAAGCCCGATTTTCGATATTTTTATTAATTAGCTAAATAATTAATCAATAAAAAATTTAAAAAACCGTTATAATTTACCATGCGATATTGGACGATTGGAACAAGATATCAAAAATCGGCAGAAACCTTTCAAATTTTTCAAATTTGTCTAAAAAATATTTTTATGAAATAATATGCACTAATAACTGTAAAAAATCAACTATATGCCAAATATGACTTTACACCCAAAACATGCAAAAACATGCACTATCAAACTTCATACTATTATTACTATTGTTATGAAACGGATTTGTATCACAGTTAGCATGTTTTCCTGTGTAGCAAAAAAAAACATGCAGATGCATGAACTTACGAGCCCTGATAATAAGTATTTATAGGTAGGTAATCTAAATAATTACACAGTACATAATTTATTCCTAACTTAAATATGTTTTATTTACAACATAGAGACACATATAAAGACTTATAATACAATTTACAAAAGTAATAACTAATTAATGTTTAATTTATAATTTAGTTACAGGTATTCAAACACAAATGGAGCAATTGTAGTATCATACAATTCAATTAGTATATATTAAAGCACATAGTATATACTAGCACATATTAAATTCTAATAAAAAAAGGTATTTATTAAATTACAATTATACATCTAAATATTTATAAAATTAATACAATTACAAAATATTGCTTTACAAATGCTGCAAAATTGCTAACTTTCTGTTTTTGATTTTTTTTTCAGATACCAAATGTCTATTTAAAAATTTAATTGAAGCATAAATTCTAAAACGCAAAAAAAAATTCAGTAAGTAATCTTTATCAAAGTTGGGACATGGATGTTCATAATCAATATTAAGCATTCTCATTTTAAGTTTATCGCCTATTCCTTTTTCAACAGACAAAATAGGAAAACTATTTATAAATTCAGATTCCAAGCTATAAACATAATTGTAAAAATTTTCATGGGGCATATTTAAATTTCCAAACGTTGATTTTTCAGCATTTTCATACGCTTTAAAAAAGCATAACAAAAATGAAGGATCTAAATTTTTTTGGGTTTTTGCATACTCTAAACATATTTCACATGAGTGTTTGGTTAGACATTTACTCATAATATATCCACAAACATAAATGAATGCATTTTGTTCAGGGATTTATAAATTTCTATAATCAACATGTTCTATAGAAAGTGGACAAGTTTTTTTTTAAATTGAAAGGGTGTTTTATCAGCATATAGGGTGCTAATGTCTAAGTCTGAATCAGTGGGTATTTGAGTTAAAATTGCATCCAAATCATTTATGCAATTTGCTTTTTCTGAGTGTTGAAAATAATCAAGTAAAAAAATTTTTTTAAATGCAAACAAAAATTGATAAGGAGTTGGATTAGTGTTATTGCCATTTTGTTGTCTGATTGTACAAAAAAGATTCTCAATAGTATCCTGGTTTAATCTGGCAGTGTATAAAACATAATTTTCTTGTTGGTTTAATGGTCTTGTTGATTTCAAGTCTTTCCAAAGTAACAGCAAGCCAGTTATGGAGATCAACCAACCATTAATAAATTTCATCCGGTTAGTAACATCAGTTTGTTCTTTTTTGCTAATAATAATTAAATTTGTAAAAAAATTATGCACATATTTTAAATGGTCTTCTTGTTCTTTTGTTTGTTTAAAGGGTCTATTGAAATTTTTTGAAGTTGGCCTTCTTGAAGAATTGAAGATATCAAAAAGTTTGTCCATATTTTCAATAAAATCTATTGTTGCCTTTGAAGAAGACTCCAATTTATTACTAACAAGGTAAGTCTCCATGCCGGCTGCTACACTTTGACTAAACACTTGCGCAGCCAAAAAAACTTTCATTTTCTCAAATGGTCCAGGAAAAATATGAGAATGTGTTAATTTTGGGGCTGTTCTTAAATTACATTTACTGTCTTGTTCAAAAAATGATATTAAGTGTTTTTTTTCAATTAAGTTATCATTAAATTTAAAATTGTGTTGAAAAAACATATTTCTTGTTGATTTTAATAAATGGGGAGGGTCAAATATATATATTATTTTTTTTTCACCAACTTTAAAAAAAGGCCTGTCTGGGGTAACATTAACATTTTTACTGAAACTTACAAAGTTAGAACCCATATCTGTAATAAAAGCTTTTACATTTAATCCTATATCAAAAAGTTTGCGAATAGTTTCAAAAATAATATCCTGCAAGTCATATCCGGTACAACTACTTGATACTAAAAAGTATGCAATTGGTTGTTTCCAGTTAACATTTATTCCTCTAACCATTAGAACAAATGCATACTTGGCAGGAGTATAAGTCTTTGTCTTATTTGTTTGATGAAACCCTATAATTTCATCTTTGTTTAACATATAATAGAGGTTTGATTTTAAGGCCATTTCATCTGCACAGAGAACACATTCTTTAGCTTCGTCAGTAAAATATTTAATTTTATACTTAATAATATTAAAAAAAAATTCATTCAAGCCTCGTTACATTTCAAATTTATGAGTTAACCGTTTTAAAGTAGAAATTGATGGTAGTGAAAGAGTATTTAATAAAAGTTTATAGACTCTAGGTCCTAAAAAATAAATATTTAATGCTAATTGTTTAATTTCATTATTATATCTATAACCTTCTTTTTGTTTTTTTTTTTAAATTCATTTGGGATTTGGCAATTGTAAATAATCCAGGTGATAAATATTTTTCACCTAATTTTAAAAAATTTTCAACTGTATCATAGTTAGCTAATTGTTGACTTAGACTTACTACAGTCTTCTTTAAATTTTTTATTTCTGGTTTTCCAGATTTAATCTCCGTGACTAGTTTTTGTTTCCTTGGTGTATTTGCCGATAAGTATCCAGGTGTTTGATTTGAAGAATCAGTAGTTGTGATTGAGCTACAAGATTCATTTGAAGCATCAGAAGTATTCATGGATCCACTAAAATGACTTCTTAATCCTTCAGTGCCTGGAATTGAACTACTACAGCTACTCTGGTCTTTTGAATTATCATCAAAATACTGTGGATCTACATCGGTTTTCGACTGTAATTTGGCCAATTTAGTTCTTTCAAACATTATTTCATCTAAAAATTAAATTCAAAAAAACGTAACTAAAATTAAAATTAAATTATTAAACCAAAAATTACTTTATTAAGATCCAAATTTGTTTTTCAAATTATTTGTATAATTTTTAAACATGTTTTAATAATTTTATTATTTACTTACCATTAAATATTGTTGGAATATCATTGAAAACTAGTCGGTTTTTTGTTGTGGAGTTCAAAAACATTGAATCTACAAAGTGATCCCCACATACTTTATAGCTATTTTTTTTTGATAGTTCTTCAGTCAAATTTTCTGTACCACAATTTTTTGTCCATAATGCTAGACGATCGTCTTTTGGATATTGGAAGAAACTTATATTCCTAGTACTTGCTTTACTTTTGCAAAATTGTACAGAGCAACGCATTCCTGTTTTTTTACTATCCATTTTAAAATTAAGAAGTACAACTAAATTGTAAACTGAAAATTAAGTAAACTACACACTTGGTCAGTGGTCAACTAATAAGTCACATGGAAGTCGTGCAAACAGCAACTAAAGGCCAAGATAACCTATTTTCTAAGGGATGTAAAAGGTCAGATCCTATAGAACAGAAGGGTAGTTAGTATGAATTTCAATGTTGGCGGCAGGTAGCAATCGCGTCATTTTTTTGTCATGGACCAAACGAAATGTTATGCCCTCACTGTGGTCACACTGATTTGGTCGCGGTGATAATATTCATAGTGTTTGTTTACATCCCGAGTGAGCTATCTGTTTTCATATAGTCTGTGCTATAGCTGGCGGCCAAAAATTCTTGATTCATAACCATGTTCTTGTGGTCGCTGGCGGTTGTATGGCCCTGTGAGAGTTAGTGACTTTTTATGCCACCAAAACCACCCATGACGAAAGGGGAACACTTTCCTCATGACCTGTGAGCCGCACCGCGTGAGACCCGAGGGTCAAGTCGGTGGAGCTCACAGGCTTTGATACACGCAACGGCAAGCTGAATGCCGAGGATTTATGTTGGGAGAGAGAGAAGAAAAAAAATAAGTTAATGAAAATAAATAATAAGAGCAGTATTAGGGTAATCACGTGGATGTATTTTACAGGTTTTTTGATTGTAGATAATTTAAGTAAGATTTTGACATTTTTCATTTTAACAAAATAATATATAGCATGGCACATGGCAAGTAGGTACAAGATATAAAAGGCACATGGTAAACAAAAAAAAAACGCTCGGCCCACGGGGATCGACACATCACATTACTCGTGGTGGTCTCCACAGGGTTACCGGGGCAGTTTAAATGATTAGGGGGGAAACGAAGGGTCCTGTAAGTGTAAGTGTGGTCCGGGGCCCCCTACTTAAACGAGCACAGGGACCGCTGGTTTTTTACGCCAGCCATATGTGAACGCGTAGGAGGTTACCCGCTAGGCCCCAATGGCAACCACACTTTGGCGTTCTGCAACGCACATTTTACAAGTATCGTGCTTTTAAGTGACAAGACAAAATAAAAAAAGGGGGGAACATTTTGTAGATATTACTCTCACGACGTTGAGATGTGTTGTTGAACGAGGAACTGGATGGGCTGGTTAATACCACCGGCACACACGCGGCCGGCATGGCCCATCTTGTCGTCGATCAAACCGCCTAGGATGGTGACGGCGACACGGAGGTTGACTGGTTCAGCAGCTTTGCCCACCATCGGGCCCGTGAGCGGTACTTAGCCCATCATGGCGGTTGGTTCCCGTCGATGAAAAAACAATAATGATAGTCACACGCGAAGTGATGGTGGTCGACACGCGGTTGTGGTCGTTGTTGAAAAAGTTCGAGATGCGTCACGGTACCAAAACGTCTGGTTCGTTCAGCGGTCTCGGAAAATGTGAAAAAGACGGCCGATGTTGTCTTGCCGCTGGTCGTGGTCGTTGATGTTGACGTGGTGGGGAAGGTCAGTGTCGCATTATAGGGACGTTTACAATAATAATTGGGAAAACAGACTGCTTTGTCGGTGCGTATCGACGGACGTGACCGGCGGTGACGACCGGCATCGGCAGCGGCCTGTTGGCGGGCGGACACTGCGGGTTGTGGGGGCCGGGGTCAGGTATTATGTAACATTGTGGTCATTTATGCATTGGCGCGCGATAAATATAATAATATCATAATGTAATCATAAGTAATAATAATAATGAAAAATAATATGCTCAGGGGAACTATAATAATATTAAGTAAGGCCTAAAATTCTGTGACGTTACAGCCCTCAAGGTATTTTAAGTACTTAAGTCGCCTAGTAGGTTAATTCGGTGGAATTATTTTGAAAATTTGCATAAATTACAAACTAAGTTATGTTTTAAATTTGCAAACAAATTAATAGGTGCACTCATAGGGTGGAAGAAAAATAAAATTTAAATTTAACTTGCTGCTCAATTATTAAGTACACCAACAGCCAGTGCACTGAAGTGTTTATCACATTAATAGCTTTCAACAATTTAAGAACAGCGAAGCTACAAATGATGCAGTAGACTAGTTAATATTGGATTTCTCAAATTCAAGGAGCCCTTTTGCCAAAGCTACCAAGTGCCCAATTTATAGAACTAATATCGATTCCAAGTTTCAACTTCAAATTTAATCCAAACTAAAATTTGAAACATATAAGGTAATAAAGAAATTATACATTTATAGTAAGTAACTAAAAATAACGTTATAGTTAACACAAAAATGTTGAATTTTAAATTTAAGACGGTAATTTCGAAGATTACAAATCCCACCAACCACCCATGTTTATTTTTTTTTGATCATCCTCAAACATTACACCTACGACAGTAAATTTATTTGGACCTAGCTAATTTTGGAAACATTTGTACAACCAGAAATTGTGTCCATATTAATCTAAGTTACCATAATATTCCATTTATAGATACACAATACTGTGGAAGTTTGGGTTGCATTATAGGTGTTTGAATAGGCACCTACTATTAAACCTTATTTTTTGGTAATGACTGAACAACGCAACGAGTGATTTTAATGATTGGTCCCACACACGATGCACCACACATAAATAGTATGCAAGTTGCTCAC